TTATCTTTTGAAAAGAATTTTTTTTTTGTATTTCTATCTTTTACAGGTAAAACTTGTATTTTTATAAACAAATTGTGTAAATGCTCTTTTAAGTATAGCTTAAGTTATAGTATAGCTTAAATTAATTTTAACAAAAAAAAAAAAAATAGAAAATTATTGTTAAGTATATTTTTGCTTTATTTATTTATTTAAAGCTACTATTATTTATATTAGTTTTTTTAATTAATATTCATTCTGTATCATAATTTTTTCTAACTGTAAAATAGTGTAAATAATATGAAAACATTGTAAAAATATCTACATTTTTGTGAAATAATTATATATATATTTGTAATTTGATTATAGAAATATAGTGTTAATAATTAAAAATTTTGATTGTTTAAAATAATGGTCTATTGTGAAAATTTACAAATTACTTCGATAAAGTTTTTGCAAAATTAGTACATTATAGTATACATATTTGTTGGTAGAACTATAGTTTGAGTTATATGTACTGCATCCTGATTCTATTTATTAAATTCCAGTGGATTTCAGGATCTCTCATAGAAAATTATTTAATTCCCAATCAGTGACATAACTAAACTTTCCACTTAGTTCATTAATAATTTTACTCTTGCTATTGTATATACAATAATTTTTGGGAAAATAGTTAAATTTATCACTGTCTGAAATATTTTTAAATATCAACGTGTATTAGTTAAATGATAGAAGTAATAATTGTATTTGAGGGATACAATTTTCTGTTGTTGAGTCTATGATATTTTTGAAAAGCTCTGAAAACTTTGTCCTTGAAATACCCAAAATTACCTTAAAAAATTTTTTACAGTCTAAGTAATTCATTAGGTATCAAGTTTATAATTGATCTTATAATTTATGTTAAGCTAACTAGTTACTACTAGTTCTTAGGCGAGTGACAATTCAATAATTTTGGTAATAACCATACTGTGCTCCCTAAATAAAACTGAAATTAAATAAATGAGTTGTCATAAATTGTACTTAATGTTATTGAACTATGCCATAAATATCTACATCCGGTTATTAAAACCATATGAAAATAAAATAATCAAGATAACTTCTTAATGAATTCACCTTAATAATAGAAAAATTAATAGGTGTTTTTAAAAAGAAATACTTAAGGAAATTATTATGGTCTATGAATGAACTCTAGTCTTTTGAGGCCTTAGATCTCAGTATTAAGGTGCAAGATATAAAAAAATTACGTAGAAAATAATTTTCCTCATTAAAAGTATATTTTTATATCAAATTATAAATAGTATTCTAATTTTTTTAGGTGGAACGGGAAGAAACTCCCAAAAATCCTCTTCAAATTCCGTCTCTAGTTATCTAACCAAAGCAAATTTTGTTAGACAAGCTATCCTTAGGTTACGCCCCTGTTTTGGGTCGTGTTATTATCTATTATCAAAAAATCTATTATCATATTAGAAATATGTTGGAACTTGCTGAATTATAATTTACCTAAAATTTATTAGTCCCGCAAATTTATTTTTTAGAAAAAATGAAATAATTTGTATTTAAATTTGAAAAATAATTTCTATTGAAAATTATCTAAATTGCATTGCCTATTATACAATTATTATTATATATTTAGAAAAATAATTTGTCTTTTCAAACGAAGTGAACTTCCTAATTTTTGTTAGTTATTTAAGTTATTGATAACTTCAAATGAACTCTCCTAGTCCAGAAGTAGATGTTTTCATAAGTAATTACACTATAGTTGATCCAGATGTATATCATCTTTGGGTAAATGGTTATTCTGGTAATGAAAAATGTTTTAATTATTAGTTGGTTATTTAACCAAGTTGTGATCATATTTTAGCTACCGAATCTGTTACAATCCTCAAACAGTATGGAATTTTGGAAGAAATGGGAACAACTCTTGACTTAGTTGCATCAGATATATTGGACCATTATAGAACTTATAGTCTTTTAGAAAAATTAATTCATTATCCTACCAAATTAGACCAACAATTGGCTTTTCAGATAGAACCTCAAACAAAAAATTTATTAATTGAAAAGTAATAAATAAATAAAAATGATTTTGTCAAACTTAATGAATATTTTATGATTATAATTTTGTAAATAATTTATCTATTGAATAATCCACAGTTCATTAAATTTAATTTTTAAGATATTATGAAATTGATGACATAGTTGTCAGAGAATTTCTGGGTAAAAAACTTTCATCAAAACACCGTAAAGATCTGGATGAAGTTAGTGAGAAAACTAGTATTGCTATCAAATCTTGCAGGTAAATTTTTAATGTTATACTTTCAATTTTATTAATTAAATTATTATAATCAATTTTCATTTTAATTTATAATCTTGATATTGATTTAATTAGGCGTCAATTTGATAATGTCAAAAGAGTATTTAAGTATGTTGAAGAATTACAAGGATCTGTAATTCAAAATATTTCTAGTACATTTTTATTGTCAGAAGATTTAGCCAAGTAATTACTTTTATTTATATGCCGCTCTTTTAATACTATGTTTAATGTTTTTTTTTAGAAAGTATGGTGTAATAGTTTTTATTGCATGTATGCGTTTTGAAACTTCCAAGAGAAAACTACAAAATTTAAGTTTCCAAGATTTTTATGAACCTACTTTGTGTATTATTAATAAGTGGACATATCCAAAAAATAGTCCAGAGTTTGGAGACATGGATTTGGATCGAGAATTTCTTCTTGATTTACGAGAAGTCAGAATATTATTAGACAAAGAAAAAGATCATAAGCAGTAAGTTTATAATTTATATATATAGGATAAAATGATCTGACAACATTTGATCCAATTATCATTTTGTTATCATTTTGTTATAATTTATTTTTTTTTACAATTTTTTCATTATTACATTACATTAAAAGTATATTATTTATTTTTAATAACAAAAATAAATAGTTTTTTTTTATTTTCATATTTCAAAATAGCTTTTAAGCACTTATTATAAATAAAAGTATTTTGTCTACTCCTTAGACTTAAAAATAACAGTTATAAAAAAAATGAGCTTTTCAAAATTTTAGACAATTAAGTAAAATATAACAGAAATATAACAAGTATTTTGATAAATTACTAATATTTATAAATTAAAATAAAATAGAAAAGTTTAGAGAAAAGAAGAAAAAGCTATGTATGGTATTTATAGATTTGGAGTATGATAGAGTACCGAGAGAGAAGATAGGATAATAAATGAGCATATAAGAGGGAGTATAGGTGTAGCGTCAATCGTGGATAAGATGAGGGAAAATAGACTTAGACGGTTTGGTCATGTTATGAGGAGAGAAGAATCGGAAGCTGTAAGAATAGTTATAGAAATGAATTTTGAAGGAAAAAGAAGTAGAGGAAGACCAAATAAGAGATGGAGAGATGTTATTGAATGTGATATAAGGATGTGGGAGATCGTGTCAAGTGGAAACTTAGGATAAGGTTGTCCGACTCCAAGTAGTTGGGATTAAAGCGAGGAAGAAGAAGAAGACACAATTTTGTATATAAACCATATTCAATATTTTCTATATCTAATAGTTTTGTTAGAATTCCATAAAGTTTTTCTGTTTTATGTATTAATACACTAAGTGTAAGTTTATATTATAATTTCAATTAGAAATAATTTAAAATAATGTAGTTCTTATACAAACTAATACAAAATTAGCATTTTTACCAAAAAATGTATGATTTTTAACTGATAACTACTAGAAATTCATAGTTTCTTGTTTTTCATCTTAAAGTACATTTATTTTCAATTTAATATCCAGAAAGATTCCTTTCTCACTGTGAAACACTCTTTTAGAGTTATCTGCATGGTAAATGTTTATAAAAAAAATAGTAAATTATTCAAAATTTAGTATTAGAAAGTAATTTAAAAATATACAATAATCCTTAATTAGGTTTTTAAGGGCAATTTACGTTATAACTATTTTTTTGCATGTCTTGTATTAACTCTATATCTCGGTGTTGATAATCAATTATGTTTTTTACATATATTGTACAAGTTTGAAATATAGGTTTTTCAAATTAGATACATTAAAATCTCCTAATTACTCTTAAATCTGGTAGCTTGAATACTTTTTTAAAGTGATCTTGATGATATCAAATGACTTTTTTAGTGTTGTTTGTCAAAAACTGAAGCAAGAATTTCTTGAAAAAACTTATAGCAGTATGGAAACTAATTTCAGAATGTTGAGTAGAGCAATTATTGGAATAGCATATAATCTACATCATAATAGAGATATGCGGTACATTTAATTTATTTATTCTTAATAGAAGACATTCAATATAAGCTTTTTTTTAGCTTTGATACAAAGCTGGGAAAAAATTAATTTTACTGATGTGTTTTTTTTTTTAATTTTTAATTTTTTATGTCTTACCACTTTTTTTTAGCTCTCACCGAACCAATTCTGTCTAAAGACCAAAAATTGTATCTAGTCGAAGACATTGTCCTCAAAAATTGTAAAAAATTTTCCTCGTTCCCCGTAAATGGGGGAAATCTCCACAAAAATCTCAAATTTTTTTATAGATGTATGATGTCATTATCTTTCATTTGGTTTATTTATTTTGTAAATCTGACACTTTACCTGCCCACAGGGGATTTAAAATGACAACTTTTTCACATCAAATTAACTTTTTCTAGTTAATTTTGAAAGTGTTCTGGAAAGTCTGACACTTTTATATATATCTTAAATTAAAGTTAACGTAATATACTTTATCATGGAAAAAAAAATTTCGGATTTTATTTTGTCTTCACTGTGAAAATGGCTACCAAATGCTATTTTTGCTTGAAAATTCTCGATTTTGTATTTTACATTTTTAACTTTATTATGCTATAACTTTTTGAAAAATGTATGGATCAATACAATTTTTTTATGCTAAATACTATTTATATACCTCTTTCATTCGACATACCTTTTTTTTAAATAAAACCATATATTACACTTATAAATCATAAAACTTGTAATCAGTATTTAAATAAAGAAATAGATCATGTAGCTTTTGGAATAATCCACCAATTGTTTTCCACACAAATTAAACACTATCTATAGATTTGCATCAAAGCGTTTTTTATGATAGTGATTTTAATCACTGTTAGACATCATTTTACTTGACTTGACTATGCCATGTTCTCACTGTACTGGGTTTTTTATAATTGCAGAAGTTTATTTCTTGATATCATGGAAAGGATAGTTGATCCTTGGAAAGTACTTAATTGGAATAAAACAGAAATTATGGCATTTTTAAAAGTATTTTTTCTAAGTGCTTTTGAATTGGATATTTTTCAGTAAGTATAAATTTTCTTAATCAAAGTAAAATGAATGTCCAAATCTATATTTGTGAAATGTGATTTCTTTTTAAGTGTAGTGTATTCATATGCAGGCACTTAAGTTTTTTTTAAATAATGATTATAAATATCACACATTGAATTATTTAGTGGTATATTTTCCATTATTTGAAAAGGGAAAAATAAAGCTATGAGCCTTTTCAATATAAAAATTATTATTTGTTATAGATTATTTTTATTTTTATATCAATTTAACTGAATTTAGTAGATAAATTTTACTACATTTCAAAAGGTGATAGGGAATAAATAAAACCAATAACTTCTCCCAAAGTAAAACATACTGTTCTGTATGTACTAGTTGTGTGTTAGATGATTAAAGAGTTATGTAAAAAATTATTGAGAATATATATTTTTTGTTTAGGTTTTAACTCCAGGGAGGGTTTAACCACTCTTATCTGTGATTATTATTTAATTTACAAGTGGGAATAATTTCCTAGTAAACTGGTTTTGGTGTTATACATTTTTTACAAAACACATATCGTACACAGATTAGCAGGGTATTTCTTTCGCAATCATTGGCCTACCTGTAAAGACAGCCCAAAAGGCCTAATGGCACATGAGACCTGCAGGAATACTAGATTGGGGACAGAGCCCCAGTTAGACAAAGCCTAGTTACATAATATTATACAAATATTAAAAATAATTTTTTTATTCTATTGTTTTATAGGGAATCAGAAGTGAAAAAAGCTTGGGAGCGTTATATGGAAGTTATAACAATAAGCATAAAACAATTGTATTAGAAAGATTTATTTGCTACTTACTTTTTATTCTAGTCAAACAAGTTTTTATGTACACAAAATATATTGTTAGTCTGTATGAGTTATATTTTATTATTTTTAATTACTAATGATGTGTTTACTTCTTTTTTATTAGCTTAACAAAATAACTAAATAATACTAGTAATATTAGCGATATGTATCAACTACATAACGCTATCTTAGCAGAAACGACATACATCTACAATTTTTTGATTTTTATACTGTGGAATCCAAGTAATCAGAATATTCCTTTTAAATTCATTATTTGAGTATGTTGCTTTTATTGCAACAATATGTTAATTTTTTCTATAATCTGTATTAGTTAAAGAATAAAAATATGCTAAAATCAGAATCAAAATTTGTGTTGATTTGCATAATTAATTAATTTTTATAAGTAGTTTTTTTTTTTAAATACTCATTGTTGAACTTAAAACTAATTTATATTTAATAAAAGTAATTAAATTAAATAGGAAATCTCACTATATGTTTCATCATATATAAAAAAAATTTGAAATGTAATTTTTATACAATTTATACAAGTAAAAATTGAATAACATAGAACTAGTAATAGTAAAAAGGAAACTATCAAGATGAACTTCTATTCTGAAAAAATTGAATTTGTTTTGAGTATGCAGCTGCTATATGATATGGTGGTGGAATCCTTGGCATATTAATATTTTGTTGACTGTTTAGTTCCTATGAACATAAGCAACATTAATTATACAAATAAATAAAAATATATTTAGAATAAGAAATATACAGTTTGTTTCATATTATTTTTCATTTGATATAGTTGTTCCATTTTTTCTGCTTCTTGATCAATACTTGACACATAATTTACTTCACTTGGAAACAATAAAGGTGGACTATTATTAGTCAATGTTTCTTCATCCTTAAGCATAAAAAAAATTAATTAAAATATGGAACTACAAAATATAGAATTTTTTTTTTTATAATAATTACCATTGTGGCAGCTTGTTTTCGTTCCATAATTATCCTAGCTAGAGCTCTCATCTTTTTAGGGTGAGGAGTAGGGACTCTTAATAAATTACTGGGTTCTTCCATACCAGAATCAATACTAAATCTGATCTTGGTGCTTGATCTCATAGTCTTATAACCGTCTAATTTATTTTCTAAAAGAACATATACACATTATTTTACTTGTTGAGTTGTTAAAGCCATAATATATGTAATGATTAATATTTTTGAGTGTACAAAATAATATTTTGTGTGTAAAAGATTCAACTATATATTTTTATGACCACTTGATTATTAAGTTTTATTAACTTTTTGTACCATTTATTCCATTGAACAAAAATTACATTTTATCTGTGCATTCCTAGCCATAAGCCAAGGCTTTGATAGGGTATAATACAAAGGCATATTATACAAACTAAAAAAAAATTTTCTTTATCATATCATTTAATAAATTCTTATTTAACTGACTTCATCAATAGTAACCTTGAGTTCCCCAAGGTTTAATTTTATCCCCTATTCTGTTAAATATTTTTTTTCATTAGATCAGCCACTTCATTATAAACAGAGGAAGCTGACTATGCAGATGATAAAGTCATTATTTCACTTTACATAAACTCAATTGTTGCCTATGCAAACTTACAAGGCCTTATGTCTAAATAGTATCCAAAATAGTGTATTAAACTTAATCAGTACAAAAACAAAAATCTTAATCTATAAATCACTCATTTAACCATTGAACCTATGGTTCAATTCTATAGTCTGCAACTATACAGAAATCTATTAAAATTTAACAATTCCAGAAAATTACTCTTAAAAAAAAATACTAAAATTCTCCTTATACATCAAGCTATGACTTGCATAAAAACCTCCGTATAAGAAGAAGTTGCATTCACATCAGATTATAAAATCATCAAAATATTCTTATTTATAAACTGCATAGTAAAATAATACCAAGCAATCATGTCAAATCAAGACATGTGCTTAAGAACCAAGTAATATTACTCAACTAATTCAACAGAGCAATTTACCAATACCAAATACTAATACTACTTCTCTCATCTAATATAGAATTAGTAATGAAGTATTGTATGGTCATATTATATTATGTTAAAAGTACCCTCCGAGTAATCTGGAAATAACCGGCCCGTTTATAAATGAGGTTAGGCTATTTTACACATAAGGCTCTACACACAGTAGATTTAAATTACAAATAGCCTGTATTACTACCTAATGAATAGGTTGGTTCTTAAGCATATTTTTTGAGGTTATTGATAACCTTGACGAGATTATGTTAAAAGAACCTCAGATTTGGATTCAGCAACCCCAAAAACAAAGTAAACATAATTTTTTTACCAGCACTAATTCGAATTTTTTTGTAGAGCTGTGTTATTAATAAATAATTACATTTTCTTAAATTTAAGTGTCACTAATGAGTAACTTCTTTACCATATATTCAATGTTTTTTGTATTATTTTAACACATACTTATTGTACTATAATTATATACTTTCTTTTAATAAAAAAAAAGTTTTATTAGAAACTCAGTAATATAGAAAGTTATGGCAATAGAAAATAAATTAATGGATTAAAAAAAAATTTTTTTTGATAAGTTCAAACCTTACTAAATAGTTTTAAAAACATAAGTCCATTTTCTAATTTAAAAATATTTAAGAAGTTTAATTAAGTTAAATATGAACGTTTTATTACCTTATTAAAAATAAATAAATTTTTTAAATTTTAAATGGGAAATATAACTTGTAAAAATTAAAAAGAAATTGATTTAACTTACATCCAAGAGAGAAAATAATGAAATAATTTTTCTATTATAATGAAATTTATTCCCAAAAACCACTAAAATGTTAATACCACTTGTGTTTAAAAATACTTAATGATAAGACGTTATGAAATAATTTGGCTATCATAGTTAATTTACCAATGAGATAATCTTCTCTTTGTGGTAATAAATAACATGTTAAAACATGTTTTCCAGTCTTATAATCAAAATCATTCTGCAAAGGAGTTAATGGTTTGCTTTGGTTCTCAGATAACCAAAGAGCATTTAATTTTGTTAATTTCAGTATTGATAGAGGAAGATTTTTAATTTGGTTTTGTGTCAACATAAGAATAACTAAATTTTGTAAACTTCCAATTCCATCAGGTATATTGCTTAAGTTATTAGAGCGTAGACTTAGTTCCCTCAAGTTTTTACAGCTACAAATTTCTATAAAAAAAAAATTATAATAATATAGATTAATTACACATTAAAAAAAGTCACACTTAAATATAACTACAAAACGAATTTAAAAGCATTTATATTATTTCTTTTATTAATTTGAACACATCAGTATAATTTGAATTAAGTTAATTTAAAGCTTAGTAATGTGTTATAACATAGGGTATACTTAGATTTTATTCTCCCTAAAACAAATATTTTTTTGCCTACAAAATATTTTTATGAACTTGGGTCACTTCTAAGTAGTTCAAAATTTAAAAATGCATATAAATTCATTCCCTAAATATAAACATCATACCAATTGGAATATCATTCAATCTATTCTCATCTAATCGAAGAACAATCAATTTCCTCATCAAACCTACACTAGGTGGTAAACACTCTAAAAAGTTGTAAGATGCATCAAACTCTTCAAGAAATTTAAAACCTTCAAAAACACCATGAATTTGCTTTAAAGAATTATGGTCCATTTTTAATGTCACTAATTCATGTAAATGTCTTATAGAGCTGGGTATAGACTAAAATTAAAATAAAACAATTATATAAAAAACTTTTTAAGTGATTCAAATAAACAAAATTTGTATGAGTTTTACTTTAAATAAGTATTACTATAATTTATACTTTTAAATTATTGAAAGACAAGTAAAAGTCTTTTAATTTTGAGCAATACTGAATACTTGGATTAATAGCAGTTATCCTATTGTAGCTTGCATCAAAATACCATAGATTTTGTAAGTGACAAATTTCCTAGAGACAATTAAAAACAGATATCATAATTAACTTATATTTGTTATAAAATAAAACTACCTCAGGAATTTCTTCAATATCATTTGAATCAATCCATAATTCTTGTAATTCATTGAGTTCGCTGATAACTATAGGCTTAACATATTTATTAAGAAGTATTATATAATTTTATAATTTAAAAATACATTTAAAACTAAAAGTCTAGATTGAAATAAATTATCAAATTTAATTTTAATAAATTTCAAACCAAAACTCACTAACAAACTTTTTATACATTATAATGATTTGACAATACCCAAGTTTGATTACTAAAAAATTTTTCAAAGAAAAATATATTTTTATATTAATTTTTAAAATTCAGTGTCTATAATTATTATTTTTTATTTGATTAAAAGTTATAACTTATTGTTGTCTTAAAAACTATTTATTTTGTTCGTAAAAATTCAATAAACAATGGAACTATGTATTTTTTATATAATACTTTATAATTTAAACTCTTAATAATTCCAATTAATACATTTTTATTTTTATTTAGCTTCATATCTTCAATACCCAGGAATATCAATAATTATAAAAAAAAGTTGAGCATGTTTGTTAAAAGACCAGTAGAGATAATCAAATCAGTAAGCAGTGGTATAATTTTCATTTACAAGTCAAATAATTAAAAAAAAATTGAAGTATGATTTTCATCTTGAAATCTAGCCAATTAGAACATAAATTATTTTTCTTATGAGGTAGTATACAAAAAAAAAAAACAATTAAAATACTATTAATGAGTTTTGGTAAGAAAAGACATTTTATGTTAACAAGTTAAAGATATTTCAATCATACAAAACTTATGAAATCATTCTGGCCAATATCAAGTCTATATAATCGAGTCAAACGAGAAACTGCTTTAGGTAATTTTGATATTTTGTTATCCCTTAATTCTAAAATTCTTAAATTAGAAAGTCGTCCAATGTTAGCAGGTATAAATTCCAATTGAGTATCATTTAAACAAAGTTCACGCAGACATAATACTTGAGTTAGAGGAATTGGGAATTGAGACAAAGGATTAACACTTAAATTCAATATAGATAGTTTTTTACATCCTTTAATATTTTCGTCAAGAGTAGTTAAATCTGGAAAATAAAAATAGTTCATTAATATAACCTGATACATAATATTCATTCTATACTTCTTCACTTTATATTCTAGAGTTATTATAAATCTCTTTATTTTTAAAGCATCATTTTATTTTTGTAGCAATTAATGCAAGATGGGGTCAAGTTAAATTTTATCATTTTTAAGTTATTAATTAATTTTAATTGCATTAAGTAGCTTCAATGTTGTTTCAATTAGATGTTTAATAATATTTTTATTGTGATTTTATTTACATAGTCACATTTACTTCCAGATAAAAATATTCTATTTTAGTCTCTTAAAAAAAGTATCTAATTTTTGACTTCTCATAAAAAACAGTCTAATTAAAGTAATTTTACTTCCCTAAGTACGTACAATAATAATTAAAGAAACTCCTATAAATGATAGATGGATGCCGGTGATGTTATCAATATTCATCTAATCTTACTAAATGCGACTATTTCTTCTGTAATTATATGAATAAATATATATATACCATTATTATTATAAAGTGAGAAAATTAAAACAAGAAACAATATTGTTTTTCAAAATATTATTTTGATACTATGAACATTAAATTTTTAGATGTATACAGAAGAAACCTAGATGTTTTGAGGAACTTAAAAAAAATTAAAATTAAAATTAAAGTTTTAAAAAACATAGCAAAAATTCCAATATACTTTTATAACATCTCGTGTTATAATAAAAATGTTTAAAAAAGTATTATTTGGGTCAAATTAATATTGTGCTCAAATTAAATCTAGAAGTACTTTTAACAAACAGTTTAGAATAATTTATAAATTACATCATTTGTTTCTTGCTAATTTTGACTTTTAAAAATTTTTCAATTTTTTTGTAGATATTAACAATAATGGTTTAGCAATGTTGATGTGTTACTTACAATTTCTACTAATATCTAATTCATTCAGATTAACTAAAGACCCGATGGCTTTTGGGAGTTGATCTAGTTTATTATCACTTATATGCAAGATTTTTAACTGTTCACAGTGGAATAATGGCAAAGGTAAATCCCTTATCTGTAAAACAGTAATATAGTTTAAATGTAATAATAAAAATTTCCTTAAGATAATTCTTTAAATAAAGAATTGTCCTGAACCGGTTGAAATGGAACACTGTAATCTTACATGATTGGAAGACAATAATAGTTTTTCCAAAGTTCTTTCATATAAAAACACTTGTAATGGTACATCATTTAGATCCGAATTATTTAAGTCAATTTCAAAAATATCAACATCTTGGCGATCAAAAGAAGTTTTTCGACCAAAACATGATAAAAGTGACATATTCCTAAAAATAATCAGGTTTATAATTTCAATTACTTCAACTAAATAAATAATTAAAACGCACAAGGTTAGTGCTTCTATACTTTCATTATGCTTCGAGCGACGATCGAGTAGATCGGACTTTAACGATACCAATAAATCTAATGTTTCTTAAGAATCATTTTCTTACCATCGATAACAATTTGTATTTTCATGATAACGTTTAACTGGTTTAGCGCTATTTCTTTTGATAATGGTGTTCTAAGAAAATTCTTAGGGGTAGGGGTAAGAAATAATTTATTTTAATTTGTACATTTAAGATTGTACCTGGGATCATTTATTTTCGTTCTTATTTATTTAATTATTTTATAATTCTTTATAATACGTTATACGCATACGTTGTAAGTGTTATAACAATGTATTGTTGCATTTGAATACAACTCTAAATCAAGAAATAAAAAAGTAGATAATATGACTACAAACGATAATTCAGTAGTCTCAGATAACGTATCAACGAGTTCTATTGCAGCAACTTAATTACACGAGCAAGTGTTGTTGTCAACAGTAGAAGCTTATGCAGGTAATGTTAAAAATGGAAAAGAAAAATGTAGAATTTTGCTGGATTCTGGTTCACAGTGTAACGTTATAAGTGAATATATGGTACAATTATTAAGGTTGCGTAAATCGCGAGTACACCACAGTGTCATTGGCATAGGAGGTACTAAAAAAAATATTACTTTAGCGGTTACGGTAGTAATTACATCGCGCATTAATTTATTCAAAATAGAAGTATAATGTTTGGTTGTTCCGAATATAACAGGATTTATTCTGTCGAATGATATAAAAAGTAAATGTTTTATTCCGGAAGGTATTATATTAGTGCATCCATCTTTCACAGTACCGCAAAAAATAGACTTATTACTCCAGAGCTGGTCGCTTTTTTATGTTTTATGCGCGGGTAAAATTAAACCGTCCGATGACAGACCAATATTTCAACAAATACAGTTTGGTTGGGTAATTACAGGAGTAGTAAATTCGGGTTGTAATCATGCGTATCATTCTATTAGTTATTCGGCAGTGATTGATTACGAAAATCAATTAGAAAATATGTTATCTAAATTTTGGTGTTTGGAAGATGTAGGAAAATTATTAATTAGGCGAATCATACGAGATAGTAAAAAAGAGATTTTTAAATTTGGAAAGAAAGCTGTAAAAAGACAAAAAGTTAAAAGAGGAATATAGTAAATTTATGAAAGAATATGAAATATTGTGTCATATGCAGAAAATTATTGGAAAGGACCCTATAGTTGGGCAAAACATATGTTATTTACCGCACCACACTTTGTATAATTATAATAGCACAACAACACAACTTCGTGTGGTGTTCGATGCGTCGTGTAAAACGTCATCTGATAAGTCATTGAATGACGTACTATTAAAAGGTCCCGTCTTACAGGACGATATGATTTTTTTTTAATACGTTTTAGAAAACGTAGAGTTGCTTTAACTGCAGATATAAAACAAATGTATTGATAAATTAATTTAGCTCCTGAACATTGTGATTACCAAAGAATATTATGGAGAGAAAATCCAACAATGCCATATTCATATCTTCTATTATAATAATGTACCTTTTCGGGACTCCTTTTCTCATTAATGCCCATTTTAAATCCTCTTTCAGTACTTTATCATACGCTTTCTCCAAATCTATAGTGTACGAGTTTGACAAAGGAAAACACGAGGTCGGTAAAATGAGGAGATCAGTAACAATAGGCCAGGTCGTGATTGGAGAGGTGGAGAGTTTTAAGTATTTAGGGTCAGTTGTGCATAAGAGGGTGGTATTGACGAGGTTATAAGACACAGGATAAGTGCGGGCGGTTGAAGTGGAGAGAAATGTGTGGTGTCTTATGCGATAAAAGAATTCCAATGAGATTGAAAGGTAAATTCTACAATACTGTAATAAGGTCAGCTATGATGTATGGTTCAGGGTGTTGGGCTTTGATCAGATAGTAGAGCAGAGAATGAGTGTAGCAGAGATGAGAATGCTTAGATGGGTGAGTGGAGTGACTACAAAAAATAGAATAAGGAACAAGCATATAAGAGGGAGTATAGGTGTAGCGTCAATTGTGGATAAGATGAGAGAATATAGACTTAGATGGTATGGTCTTGTTATGAGGAGAGAGGAATTGGAAACTGTAAGAACAGTTATAGAATTGAATGTTGAAAAAAAAAGAAGTAGAGGAAGACCAAAAAAGAGATGGAGGGATGCTATTGAATGCGATATGAGGACAGCTGATGTGGTAGATTGTGTCAAGTGGAAGTTTGGGATAAGAAACCCTAAATAATTGGGATTAAAGCGAGGAGGAAGAAGAAGAAAAAGAAACTTGATTAGCTATATTTAGTTCATTAATACTTAACTCAGTTAAATTTTATGGTTGTATTAAAATTTAATATATATCCTCAATGCGTAAGTACCGTGGTTCGATTCCGTTGCGATGGGGTTTGTAGGGTTTTCCGTCCTCTTTTGCGTAAGTAATAGTTTTTAAAGAGGACATTAAATATAATTAAAAAATATTTAATAATTAATATCGTATTAAATAGATTATAAATATTAGTAGGTAAATAGATTTGTATTGTTATTATGAAAAATGAATGCTCTTAAAATTTCTTTTCGTTAAATAGTTTAATAATTAAACTCATTACAAAAAATTTCATAGAAATTTTATTTGTTAAAATAAAAACAATTGTTATAAAATTGAATATTAGTGATAAAAAAAAAAACATATTTAATTATATTATCATGTATTATTTTTTAATTTGGTAATATTTCTGTATAATTTCCATATCTTTTTTTTTTGGTATTAATTTTGTGTAGAATATATTCATAATCATTGATTGTAAATTATCTGGTAATAATCTACGAATATAAATATAATAATTACAGTCATAATTAGATGATTTTCAAAAGTAAATTGTTATACTCTACATACCCAACTAGACTCATGATGAAATATAAGTATTCGGGTACAGAAAATATTCTACGGTTTTCCAGGATTCCATTTACAATCGATTCACAAGCTATTGTTATGGGTATTTCTGGTATTCTAGATAAAGAATTACGTTTATGAGAAATCCTACTGAATAGTTAGGAAGTATGAATGATATTTAATTACCTTAGAATTAATTGTTTTGTAATATCTTCATTAGTCTGTACAAAATAAGGAAGTACTGTTGTGGTTAATACAGACGAATTAATCATTTTCAGTTCATTGTTTAAACACCCCATGCTTACTAAACTTGAAATTATAAAAATATTTTTTGTTGAATAAGATAGAAATATTATGTAAATCTTATACTTTAAATAAAATGTATTACCGTTTATACCACATTTTGTCGCTGAGTATGATGAAACTCCAGGTTCTTCAACAAGTGATGCCATCGAAGATATTGCTACGATATGCCCTTTATTTCTTGTTAACATTGATGGTAATATTTCTCTGTTCATCTAAAATATATAATATTTTTTAATTAAAATAAAAAATATACTAATTAAAAGTATAATTTAACAATTTATTTTGAAAATTTTATATACAAACCGCCTAATGCATCTATACATTTTAAATACTACTCTATATTTTTTGTTAAATATGTAATGACTTTTTCTGAAAAATGTACAGACTAAAATTTGATTTATTTTTATGAACAATATTAAATATTAAGTTAAACACTATCAAGATACTGAGTAGTGTTTAGCCACTTTTTATATTTACCTTAACGAACAAATGAGAATTCTACATTGCTTACCAATATTTCGTCTATAAATAACAATTATATTAATTAAAAAAGTAATAATACAGAACTGGTTATGGACTGGTCAAAATATTATTTAATCCATTACCTATTAAATAGTCAAAATATATTAATAGGTTCTTATTTAAATTTCAAAAGTTACTCCAAATATGCACCTTTAGAAAAAATTTATCCTTGCGATAAATTTGATATTTACTAGAGTTCATAAAAATAAATTAAATTTTAATCTATAGGTTTTTATGAAAAAATAATTATTTAACGATAAAATGGAAGGGAAAGTAGTATTCAACGAATGATAGTAGTAATAATAATTGTAAAATTAACTTATTTAATATTTTATAAGATAAGTGACATAAGATAACTTTTAAATGTAGTCTAAGAAGATAATGATAAAAAAAAAAATCATAATTGTAACAAAAGTCATACGAGTCGTCCAGTTTCATAAGGAGGTAAAAAATTTTTCTTATCCTGTTGTCAGCTAATTTGTCCAGAAAAAATAAAAGTTATCAAAAAAAATTTTCGGTTATGACTTATGCGTTGTTAATTAGGTCTGAGACATCTGTAAATTATTTTTATATTATTATTAATATTATTATAATTTTTATAAAAAGCTTTAAAATTAGTTTTTATGTCAATAAGAATTTTCTTAATTTATTTCAAGAATAAATATCATAACTTATGATCTAGAGGATAATTAATCGAGTGGTTAAATTTAATATAAATAGTATTATATATTATATTTAGAGTTTTGAAATAATAACTTAAACCGCAATACATTTTCTTAACATTTTAATAGGACTATTTTTATCCAATGTTTTTATTAAGTATTGAATTATTACTTAATAAGGAACCTAAAAAATTACTTATTTGAAATCTTTAAGTAATTAATAATAATTTAATAGTAATACACTTTGTTTTTAAATGCAGTGAATTTAGAAACGACAGTAAATAATTTAGTCGTTTTTAACAAATTTTACGTACCCAGAAATGACTTAAAAGGTTTACTTCAAACTGTTTTTGTATTAATTCATCTTTTTCTGGATTTATGTATAAATAACCATCAACAATACCAGCATTATTGATAACTATGTCCACAGGACCCAAGTCTTCTCTTACAGACTCGTGTAATATTTTGATTTGATCTTTACTAGACACGTCGGTGGTATAGCTTCTCGCAATTCCACCATTTTCCTTTATTATTTGTGCAGTTTCATTGTTTCCCCGTTCATTGATATCGACACACGCAATTTTCGCACCTAATTTATGGAAATTTAAAGCTAATTGACGTCCAATGCCCCTTGCTGCACCCGTTATCTAGAAGTTAAATTATATTACACTATTTTTGTTCTTGTAATTAGTATGATTAAAATAATATATTAAACAAAATATTTCTTTAATCCCAATACCTCTACCCGACAAATAAATGTATTTTTTAAACGTTTTTTCGGTTAATTGTAGATTTATTTATTTAATAATAATCGAATTTAATTTTTTTTTGAATACGTCTTTTTCAATCAATTCTCAATGTTTATTTATTTCATTTTCTATTCAAATTAAATCGTCTAATGTTGTTTTATGACGATTTTTTTAGTTTATATAACGTTAAATTAGCTTAATAGCTTTAACTACAGTGTTTTTCTAACCAAGAATTCCAAATTGCTTTATAGTGAGAATAAATCGATTATATATAATATGTTCTGTGGTTCTTTTTTTAATTCTAATTTCGAGATTTATTTTACATTATTAGTACATTTAGTATAATTCAAATTCATATTTTAGTGTTTTACGCATCTTCTGGTATCATTATTTCGTAAATATTTACAGTAGACTGAATGAGTTCGAGAAAAGGGAATACTTTTTTAGTCGAATGAAACAACAAATAAAGTTACGTAGAGTTAACAAGCATTGTATATTTATCTAAAACTTTACGAGGAGCAGAGACCAGAACCTTATTGAAATAATGTTTCGTGTTCCGGTTAAAATTAAAAAAAATTTAAATTCCAGTTAAAAAAAATAAATGAAAGTACTAGAACAGATATTTACCGGTTCTTGAACCGGTATAGACTAATAAAGATTCTAAACTGGTTTTTAATAAAAAAAAGTAATTACCATAATATCATCATAGAAAAGAAAGAACACATTTCTAGTAATGGGGATTAAAACAAATCAAATATTTAAACAAACCAGCCTAGTCGGGAAAAGAATAAATGATTAAAATGACAGTGACTAACATCACCATTCATGTAAAACGATTTGATAAGATGAAATTTTTGGACAAAATTTATCATTTGAAATTTCTTGGCTGCACCCCTTTCCCGCCTAGATATAAAAATAACTTTCGAAGTACTGGTCCATAAGTTGTTATTGACCAATTATTTTCTTAATTGGATAATTTTTATTTTATAAGCGTTAAAATAATAATCCTGATAAACTAAGAAGTTCTAAGTATGTATTATTAATTGACAATGATAGTTAATGTTACAAATCGTGTTCAAAAATGGAATTATTATAACAACCTGTTGCGATCTCGGTTTGTTCCGCTGTCACAACGTTTTCTTGGGTTAGTCTTACCGTGTGTGAGTTGTCGACGAGCGATGTCGAGTCGTCTGATGTGTACTATTGTTTATCGTAACTTAACTGAAGTGTTGTTGTTTAATTCTTAAACTTAGTGAGATTTAAGAAAAAAATTCAGTACTTAATACTTATTATTGTAATTAACATAGCTTAATCGTAAATAATCGTAATGATAGTAAATACAATTAATACACGACGACGGAACTACGACTACTTATTATAAGAAATATTTAAACTGATTATACACAAGTCTAGTGGTCAGCTATGTGCTCGATCAACACCACTAGTGCAATAGTTCATAACAACCTGTGTAGTTATAACCTGATTACTTAACACGTTGACTGCCACGAGGGTCGTTTTTTTTGTTCTAGTTTGAAACCAGTTTTTTTCGGTTCGGTTCTAGTCACTGGCGAAGAATTTAAATTATAAACACTTTAAACTTTAAATAGTTCGTTGTAAACATAATATTTTTACTTAAACACTCAACTTATTAAAGCACTTTTGTTGTTATTCGAAATTTATTCATAAGGTTGAGAGGTGACGACTTGGGCCACGCAACGGAATGTGGAGTCGCCACCTTCATGGCTCCCTTGCAAAAGGAAAGTCGGGTCGCCAACCACTTAGGCGAGGGTCTCGATTAAAAAACCACCCGGACCATAAGTGGATTTAAAAATAATTAAACAAGAAGTAAACCAAATAATATTAAATTAAATAATATACAATATAATGTTGTTATAATAAAGTGTTGTTGTAGACTATAATATGCTGATTACTTGTAAGTAAAACAAAATATGTTTTGTTGAAAGTCACTAGTGGTGGACATACTTTTGTATGTCGAAGACCGTTACCTTAAAACTAGATAGAATTATTAAAGGTAAAAAAAAAAATAAGATACACGTGAATATTGAAGATATTCACGCAATAAAAAGATTTTTGTTGATTAACAATATTAAAGGAACTTTATTAAATTATGACAGTTGACTTAATAGTGGACAAAACCCGAAGGCAAAAACCACTCTGAAAATAAAGGGACAAGAGAAGCAAAAAAAACAATTATTAAGTATATGTATATGTATTAAGTATACATGACCCACCACTGACCAATAACTTTGTATTTTACCAATTATAGTAAATCATAATCATGAATAATAATAATAATAATACTGTATATTATAATAGAGAATACATTTTAGCATAAAAAGAAAAAAAAAGAAGAAGGCTCAAAACATTAAGATTAATAAAGCAAATACGATACCCAGTCGGACTCATCCGAAGACGGAGATCTCGGGCCGGAAAATGGCCGACGTCATGTTGAAGTTAATACATCTTAACAAAAAGTATCACACACGAAAAAAATAATGTTGGCTGTACGCACACGGCAAAGTACCAAGACGGTGGTTTAAAAGAAAGAGAGCGTCAATCTTTTTACACACCGACGACGACGATCACGTTTGGGTGAGGCTATCGGCCTAACAATTTACAGAATATAAAAAAGGTAAAAGTATAGACAATATTAAAATTATATAGGTATTGACAGTGGTGGCCAGTGTATGTGTCATATAGGGAACGATTATTAAATTGATAAAGAATATTGTGTGTGTAGCGTTCACTTTTTTTTTTTTTTTATTACGCGACCGGCATAAGTGCGGACCGCCCTGGAACTACCGTGAGGTATTACTTCAGGACGGCCCATACCGTCTCTGAAACACACACCACCGCGTTGTGAATCAGCCCGAAATTAATCGAGAGCCGATTCACAACGTGGTGTGGCCTCCCCCGTTAGCCGGATCCTAGAGTGGGATCCGTTGCCCGGGTTGCACCACGTGGTGGTGGGGGCAGGACTTTGCGAGGGGGTAAATAACTCACAAACACATAGAAAACATAAAACACAAATACCTAAGGCGCTGGTTTAGGCCGGCGCCTTAGGTCCTCCTGTGCCGGACGGCGCGGCTGTCCTCCAAATATCGCGGAGGTATTCGTTAAAGCAGCCGTGGCCGGACATCACTTGGGTGAGACGATAAGTCATCTCGTTCATATGACAGCAACAGTATAGTTTTCTGATTACACGGCCGGATATAACGTACGTGCGCTCATTAGCAAAGCAAAACAGTAAATTTATTTATGCCATAATAAATTAATAGATTTAAAGGTTCACATTTTGTCATGTTACAAGGTTTACATAATGAAAAATTTTAATAGCTAAGTTTTTTATTAAAGGTTAATTGATTATAAATTAATAATTATTAATTTATAAAATAAAAACCTACCTGGGGTATGGTTTTAATAATAAAAATATTGTCTATATTTGTTACATAAATATTATAATTTGATATTCATTTAAAAAATTTATACTAATGTTTCAAACAATTGTTTAAATAAGTGATCATTGAATATTAAAACTAAAAAATCGTTTATATGATTTACTTACTAAAACAACTTGTCCTTTAACTTCTTTTCTCTTAGGTCGCAAAAGTTTTTGAATACCGGCCTGAACGATTGATGGAACTAATAAAATTGAAAACAACAAAAGTTCAAAAATGAGACTGATTGGTTGAGACACGCGTAAAAACATATTGATCTCAATAAACCTTTAGCATAAATTCAAAAATAAGTATTAACTTTTTTAAATTTCTTTAATGTCCAATACGATTCATATAGAAACGCCTTTTGTTTAAAGTTGTGCATTAAAATTATTAGGTAAGCGTGTAGATATTTGAATTACAGCGGTCAAAGATCAAAAGGATGTTACAGTGAAAATGATAATTAGGTAGAAACCAAAACTGTTTTTATTTATTTCAAACTATGATTAACATTTTTTATATTTTTAAAGGTTTTATGGCAATATTTTGATTTGTGGTAAATGACGTTTCTATAATTATCCCGTTATTATTCTTAACATTATAAAAAAATGAAATAAAAACATTATACTAACGATAAACGCTTATGTATTGTTACATTCATACTTTTTTTTAGAAAATATAGCAATACATGTTTAACAAGTGCATATGATTCACCCAATCAAATACATAGTATTATCTCAAATGTCTTTTATGTAAAAAAAGTTGTTTAATTTACAATTAAAGATTTGAAAACATTTTGTACATTATACGTATAATTTAATTTAATTTTAATCTGTTGTGTTTATATAAAACGATAGATTTATATTATTCAAATTGCAATTTTGATGTATACAACTTAATACTGGCATCCACTTGTCTTGATTTATTTTAAAGAAACTTTCAAGATTAATAAAATTTATTTGGTTCAAAGGAATTTTAAAATAATAAACTAAAAACTTGAAGATAATTTAAGTTTAGTTTGGTCAACTATAAAAAGTTATATATCTAATAATATTACGATATAATTGAGTTTTAGTATTGATGACCTACTTTTAACTTACAAAAACCTATAAGTACAAAAACCTTGTTTTGGTTCATTCTTATTTTGTTTATTAATGTACGAATTTGCTCTAAAAAAATTTTCCTAGGGATATTTAACTCAGATTTAAAATTATTGAATTTATACAAACAATAACAAGTACAAATATTTTTTAAATTATATGTTCCAAATCACTTTTTATAAAAATTTTATGGTAGAATTTTTCTTGTGAAATTTAAAAAAAAAACTACGACTTAATAAATACAATATAATTTTGCAATAAATAATAAAAATGTCACTTTATAACTTTTAAAATGATTTGATTTATTTAAATTAGATTAATAAGCAGTACACAAAAATGTTTTTCTACTATTAGTGAAATAGAAGAATGTAGAAAAAAAAATATCACTTATGCAAATAGGTCAAAATAGAATAAATATATTTCATCTGCTACTAAACATACAAAAAACGGAGATTAAAGTTTTCATTAGAGATTTTCAATTTTTTGTCAAAATATCATTGAAAAATATTATTTTAGTTTTGTACGTTATATCCAGTTTTGGCGATAAGTTTTTGATAAACCGTATAAATTATACTTGATCAAAGAAGTAAATTATTTGTACACCCAAAATTAATGGTATGCATAAAATTAGCATAAATCATACTACAACTGAATATAGCAAAGGTATTTAATGTGATGAAGTTGATGTTTACAAAATAAATTCGACATGCAGTACAATGATTGAGTTAATAAATTATAGATACACCAAAGTATTGACAATTTTTCATAACACGTGTTAGTACAATTATTGAAAATGTAAATATTATTTGAAACAAGGATACTGAATATTTTACTAATTGCACCATATAAGTTTTAGAAACAGTTAATAGTTCTAAAACATTTACATGTTTTGCTTTTTATGAACGACTTATATAAAAATTAAGATAATTTAGAAATTAAAAAAAAAACCCAGCACAGTGTTGACGTGGCATAGTTGGATCAATTATAATGATATCTGACAGTGATTAAAATCACTATCAAAAATAAACGCTTCGATGCAAATCTTTAGATAGTGTTTAATTTTAAAAAAATTGGTGTTTTATTCCAAAAGCTACTTGATCTGCTGGTTCCTTATTAATATCTCGATTAAGATAAAGTATGTCGAATGAAAAAGGGTTTATTAAAAAATATTATTTCTCATAAAAAAATTGTGTGGATCCATAAACTTTTCAATAAGTTATAGCATTATAAAGTTAAATATAATATAAATAATAAAATCGAGAATTTTCACACGAAAATAGCATTCGGTAGCCATTTTCGCCGTGAAGACAAGTCCAGAGGTCAAATTTTTTTTTTTCAAATTAAAGTATATTACATTAGCTTTAATTTAAGATATATATAAAAGTGTCAGACCTTCCGGAACATTTTCAAAAGTTAAGTTGAAAAAGTTAATTTTTTGTGAAAAAGTTGTCATTTTAAATCCCCCCCTGTGGGCAGATAAAGTGTCAGATTTACAAAAAAAATATACCAAATGATAAGTAAAGACATCAAGCATCTATATAAAAAAAAATTATATTGATATGTTCATTTTTGAAAAAGTTACGGCAGTTTTTAGTAAAAAAAATTTAAAAAATTTCGAAAATTAGCGATTTTTAAATTTGTAATTTTTTTGGAGTTTTCCCCCATTTACGGGTAACGAGGGAAATTTTTTCAATTTTGAAGGGTAATGTCTTCGACTAGATACGATTTGTGATCTTTTGACGTATCGTTGAAAGAAATCCGTTCGGTGAGAGCTGAGAAAAAGTGGTAACAGACAAAAAAAAAAAAAAAAACACATCATAGTAAAACCAATACCTTCTCAGCTTCGCATCGAAGCTAAAATATAGTCCAACAATCAATATTGACGATATTTATAGTTTACAATTTTACATGTTCAGTTACAAATCTTAAAGTGCAAAATTATATTGACTCTGAATGCACTATAACAGAGGAGGGCAACTGGCAGCCCGCGAGCCATTTTTATCTGGCCCACCCTACATTTTCAAATTGCAACATACAATTTTAAAGTTTATCTACAAAAGAGATTGACACAAGCTTTTGGAAAAAATTACCTATTCTAAAATATCCACTTTTACGAGAGTTCACATTAAAAATGTTATCCATGTTTGGGACTACTTACATTTGTGAATGCACATTTTCAAACATATTAAATCAAAATTTACAGATGAAACATTAAGTCGTCACCTACTTCGTATTTCTTCGTCCGAAATAGAAGTCGATTTTGCCGCGTTGTCACTAGAAGCCACCCATGCTCAAAACTCACAAGTATCTATTAATTTGTATTATTACATTATAAACAATAAAATGTTAATTAAAATGTACATTTTGAATGACCTTTTTTTTTTTTTGCTTTCCATGCTCTGGCCCGCTAGAATTTTTTAAAAATTTTGAGTTGCCCATCCCTGCACTATAAAAGAAATCTATCCGACATTTAGGAATGTAAAAAAAAAAAAACATTCGCTATAAATAGGTAAATTGTTGTTATGAACATTTCCGATAAAACAAGTATTTTTAATTAATGAATTAAAATACACGCCAAAAAAAAAAAAGGTTAGTTTGTTAAAATTATTAAAAATTACTTTCAATTTATTTTATTTACCTGCATAGTTGTCCTTGACCTAGTTAAAATAACAATTTATATTATTGACCTAGTTTAAAAGATTAGTAAAACCTATATATAAAGTAATAAGTTAGTTAATTATGTGTTAATTAATTAAAGTGTTAATTATTTTAACAATAGTTCTATATAACAATCAATAGTTTCTTACTAAACCTTAACTGTGACATCTGCTTTTGTGGTAAAATGAGATTTCGATAGTTTTATTAATATGTCTAAAAAAAAAAAAGAATTTGGATTTACGTTAAAAATATACGTTAAATAGTGTAAAAGTGGATAAAAAAAAATAAAGCTATATACATATTTTTTTTTTAAAGAAAATCAGTTTTTTATTCGTTCTGGAAAGTTGTCGAAATACAGATATGTGTAATCACTGTATAAGTACCAATATTGTAATATTCTTCCCTACATTTACAAAAAATACCTCTTGTTTTTCTCAGACCACATAAAAGAATACACTAACGCATTTAATTTTGGCGTTGACAATAATATACAGGGTGTTCAGTAAGTCAGGAAACGGGTATCTATTGTTCTCATTGTTTGTAACAATGAGAACAATAGAAACCCGTTTCCTGACTTACTGAACACCCTGTATATATAATAGTAACTTTGAGTCACTGTTTTTCTTTGCGTCTTCTAGGCACCATAAAAGTTCTAAACAAAGAAAATAATAGTAAAAACTTTTGTAGCGATTGAACTACGGACTGTAGTGACTGATGACTACATGTTACTATAAAAAGTATGACATATTCGAGACGCCCAATCTCCGTCTAGTGCCGTTCGTGACACATTATATAAGGGCTGAAGACTCTGTTTTTCCACTCACCCACTTATCTCTTTTTCTCGTGTTATTGTCTCAGATTATTCCTCAAATGCTCTAGTGTATACTTTGCACGTGTTTCTACTCTTCTTTACCTTAATTCAATCACATAATTTAAAACTTACATTTGTTGAAATAATTAACACTTTTCTTAGTAATAAATACGCTTCTATAATTCTCTTTTCATTAACATACCTCCTATAATTTAAATAAACACTTTGAACAACTACAAGTCACCAACCGAGATTCTACCATCAGTGAAAATCAGGTAAGAGTAGTTTTAATACACAAACTGCAAATATTAAGCAATAATCAAGATCTGTCCCTCTTTATGAACCGCGCTCTTAACATCTATACCTCTCACATTTTATAACTTCTTTATTTTGGTTATTACAATATGAACAAAATGAAATATACTTAGTCCTATAGTAGAACTATGGTTTTGTATAAACTAATTAAACGATTTCTCAAAACTGACTATATTGAAAAAAATGTTGGTTTATTAGAAATTAATTAATGTACCAAATCGACTAAATTTAAATTAATTTAGGGGTTGTCTTCCAACTTTCATTTGAAATAAATAAATTAATAGAATGATATTACTACCTCTAAACATATACAAAAAAACTCATTTTTAATAACGTGCAATTTATTATTACAATAATAATTTGTGTAATAAACAATAATAATATTAATAATAATAATAATAATATTTATTTGTAACACTATTGTTTACTACATATAAACCACGTTGTAATTTAATAACTATTATATAGAATAATAATACTAAAAACGAAGTAAATAACACATAAAATACACATGTAGAACTACATTAACATAATTTAACGCGAGAGATAAAATACACTCCAATACAATTAAATATTACAATTTACAAAAAAGAAAAAATATATATAAATATTATTTTTTTTATTTGTGTTGGAAGACGAGGACGTCGATATGCATTACGTTGACAAAATTGTACATAAACATATGAAAATAGTAATACATGATAATATATTCATACACATTTTTGTAAAATATGTTAATTCCTTAAAATATTTAATATTATTTCGGGGGTATACGTCGCTTTGCAACGTGATAAATAAATTTTATTATAAAGATCTCCATTTTCAAATTATTATTTACTAAAATATTTTACAAAAAACTTATTTCATCGTGTTAATTACAAACATGATATGTATGTAATCATGACATTTAATACAATTAGATTAATGTAATATTAGTATGATAAATAAACCGTCGGAAATTTAGTATGTATTTTGAAAAGCTCAATCAATAAAAATAATTTTTTTAATTCAATGAATTTAATCAAGATAAATAATTTATAATAAAGTAACATAATAATCTAAGTTAAATAAAATTGTAAAAATAATTTTTCAACAATGGATCGAAGGTCAAAAAAAAAATTTTTTAATTATTTTTCAACTATGAATAATATTTATAAAGCCTGCTTAGGGAAAAACTTCAATTTCAAGTACTAATACACCACTTCTAATATAAATTTTATAAGTGTATTTTATGGATAGCTAAATTCAAAAAGCTGTAAGCGTTTTTTACAAACTAATATGGTAACGGTCGCCATGCATTAGATCAGATCCAACCTAACTTAATACAAAAACTCTAATAATAATAATAAATTAATGTTTTATATAACACTAAATTATAAGGAAAATTAAGTTCCATAGATAATATAGTTTGTAGTTACATATTGTGTATGTATGATTTTTATAACGTGGAACACATACCCTGTGCGCTATTGACAGTATAATTTAGATATGTGCAAACAAATTATTTTTTTGTTAACAAAACTATTACTAGGAACAAAAAAAACTACACTTATTAAAATTACAATTTCTATAATAACTATAAATTAATTGGGCGTATAACAAATTATAAAAAATAATAAAACAATAACTCTATGAATTATAACAATAACAGTATTAGGTAATGATGTGTATTATTAAAATTATGTTATTTCTTAGGACTAAGTTGTTACTTATGTAAATTTCTTAAAATTATTAAATATAATACACTAATGATGGTCCTTATATCAAACGCAAATCTTGTATATTTCGTTTTGAAGTTAAAAAAACATTGTGTTATTTCTATAAATTTGAATTCATTATAGTAAAACCGACTCTTAAGTTTACCCCAGCAAATTGTTTGACCAGTAGAATCATATATATGAACACCACTTTTGCGAATACTCAGTGAGTTCAACACTAAAAAATAATCTTCTTAAAATACTTAATACTATTATATTTTTAAAAGTTAAAATGTCGAGCACAACGCTAATTATTACATGAAATTTGGATTTACAATGATAAGTATGTAAATAATATTTAATACAAACGATATTGGGTTAGTCTAACAAGTTTTCACGCTAATATATTTAAGAGTACATTAATAGCATATCAAAACTATTCAACCATATGAATTAATAGATTCTCAAAAGAAAAATTATTTTTAATATCAAAATGACAGATAAAGTTTAATTTTATATAAAAATAATACTACTGAAAATGTTGACATCAATAGATGAATTCAGTATTTCTTAATTGAAATAAAATTTATTATACATTTTCTTTTCAACTAGTATCTCAAATTAAAAATGCTTAACATATCGAAGTGTAAATTGATTATTATGCTATAGATTATCAACTAGAAGATTATACTTTAAAAAAATTGCTAAAATAAAATAACAATCGCTAAGTTACCCAAATCGAATGTCAGCGATTATGTTATCATGAAATTTTTCATACGTCCAGTATTCCTTAAATGATGTATATGCTTAAAAATTATATCTAAACAAAAGTATATATAAAGTATATACAGAGTGTTCAGTAAGTAAGGAAATAGGTCAATTGTTACAAACAATAAGAACAATAGAAACCCATTTCTTTACTTACTGAACACCCCCCCATATATATTATAAAGTTAATTATCCATTAATATTTACACCAGCCTATATGATATATTAATTGTATATCATAAAAAAAAAAATATATATATATATATTTATATAATAGTATTATAAATTATCCTAAGGCGTAAAGCTGTATGATAAAGTAGTTAAAAAACAGTAAATATAGTATAAAATAACACACATGAGTACAGACACCTTTATCACAACTGAAAAAAACGGTTTAGGTGTTACTGTAATAAAAGGGAAAAATATTGCTTTTATATGACTTCTCATCGCTAAAAAAAATATAAAACAAGCAAAAAATACCTTTTATAAATTAATAGTCCATCATTACTATTTAAATACAATCGATATTACTAGAAAATACATCACAATATTATTTGTGGCAAAAGTAATTAAAAGTAACTATATATCGGTAGTTATTTTTTACTTTTTATAAATATTAGTTTTGGCTGTAGATTGTTAGATCCATTGTCGATTATATAATTATTAGGGTAATAATTGGACTTAAATTAGAGAAATACTATAAATTAAAGGTATACATAACAGATTATATGACCCCAACTAAATTAGATTTAAATTTACATTAATAAAGAAAAACTATGTAAGAATTAAGTAACTAGTAAGAATGGTTTTTTTATGATTAAAAAACTGACTTCAAAACAAAAAACACATGACAAACATTAGAAAAAAAAGTAAGTAAAATACTAAAAGTAATTTAAGGTAACGTTATGTGTGAATAGAATATTTCGTGTCATAGATTTAAAGTACATTAATAACATTAAAAAAACTAATACTTGTAGATATATCAACTTAAATAATATTAATATAGAAATATTACACCTAAGTAGGTCAGTAAATATCCAAAAATTATACATTCAGTTTTCCTGTTTGCAGTAGTCCATATCATGAAATTCATTCCATAGTGTCGTATTGGACTTTCTTGATTCTAAAATGTCTAAACACAGCGTATCCGCCGACCGTGAGCAAGGCAACGGCAGCCAAAGTAATGCCGAATATAAAGGGTACTGTCTCATTTCGCATTGATCCGGCTCCAATTGATGAACATGGGTAAGCTATAAAAAACCCATATATTAAAACAAGTATTTTACTGTTAAAATGTTTTAAATAACAAAAACACTGAGACATAGGAACTATTTTTACATGGGAGTGGGAATCTAATGACTAAAAATATGTTGTCTTGATTGTTATAAAGCTAAATTCTGTTAAAAGATTTTTTTGGTAATTTTAGGTAATCATATAAAAAAATCCGGTAGTAAGGTTATAAAGTTAGTTAGAGTTAAACATGAATTTTATAACTTTTGATAATGCATATTGTTTTTTTTTTAAATTATCAATACTTGTAAATAATATACTGAAATACAGCTCTGTATTTTAGTATATTATTTATTGTTCATTATATTAGTAAATTATTATTAAGAATCACTCCATTAATTCTTTTAGTGAATACAAACTCGATTTCTTTTAAAATAATATTTATGTTAAGAAAATTATTTTTGATATTTTGAGAGGAAGTAAACATTGTACTCATTTAGTACAAGGTTTACACATTTATTGTAAATGAGAAGAAAATTCAATACATATAGTATATAAAATTTTTAACTCATTTAAAAATATCAAAGAAAATTAAACTTTATAAAAACGAATAGGTGCGTAGTAAATGTTATACATTTATAACATAAATTACTTTGTATTAATACGATTAAGTACAATTTAAATAATATAATTCTTTACAAAAAAAATTACGTATTTGTACTATAAAATTTATAGTATAACATAAAACTTGTTCAGTAAAAAATTTGTCATAAAATCCTAATGATAATTCAATTATATTCAAAAAATTATTATTGGTATTTTTTAGTTTTATATATTTCTCTATTTATTATTTATTAAATACTTTTATAAATCATCCTTTACTCTTTATAAGGGTATTAACTTTATTTTTTTAAATAGTAATAAACTTAGTTAACTAGCTTTTGTAATAAAGTTGACATATATTTCATTTATAAGTAACAAATTAAAAAGTAATTGATAACTGCAAAATCGAGAAATATATAAAATTAAAATATACCAAAAATAATTATCTTAACATAATTATTATTTTAATCGATGTAAATCAAGCGTTAAAAGAAATTCTCTGCATATAAAGAGTGTTCAGTAAGTAAGTAAACCCCCTTTTCTTACTTATTGAACACCTTATATATGGTATTCTTTGTGCTCCTTTTTTTAACTTTTAAACAATATTAACAAAAACAGTTATGAGCAAAAAAAAAGTCATCTAAATTCTACTGTAGATACACCTTAACCGTTAAAAATTTTTATTGTCCCCTTTCCATTATAAATTTTTAAATACATCCCTGGGTTAAACAAGTGACGGATGAACAAGAATATAAAATAGAACCCAATTCTTTACATGTATTTACAAAAGTCTGAAAACCATTAAGTTCAGAATTGCAACCGCTAGAAAATATAAATAATATAATTTCATAATTAAACTAAGCCAAACAGGAGACTTATAACTCTAATGGACAACAAACTTTTTTCAATTAACGGAAAAAAACATAATTTTTGATTTTTTAGCATTTTCATAACATTATTAAAATAGACATAAATGAAAAAAAAGTTAAATAAAATTATGCGCGTCTTTAATGAAAAGTTTTTAACGGACATTAAATGCATAATATAATAATTAATTATTTATGTTTCAGTTAATTAGAAAAAATATTTATTCAGGGGTAACATTATTTATTATTATCGTAATTTGTTGATTTTTGATTGAAGAATTAGCTATTATACTTGCACAATGAAATTATCTCTATTTTCTTGCTCCTAATTTTTTAACTGTGCAGCATAATTCACATATCGTGGATCGCTTTATTAATTAAAAAATTAATCATTTATTGGTTAATTTAGTTCATAATTTAATTTATAAAATATTTCTTAATTATATAAGATAATGAAATTGATTAACATATAAACAAATTGATAATTTAAAATCAGAAGGTTCTATTTTGGTATCATAATAATATTAATACTACTTAGGTAAATGTAAACTTTTCATCTAAAACTTTATCAAAAGTTGTTCCGAGACGCTATGTGAAAATTTACCGAAGATAGGAAACTGCAATATGACATTTATATGTATATTAATAGATGACATTTTCATACAAATTTCCAGTTTGTTAATACATACATTATCTATAATTAATTGTAAACGTTTGCACTAGTAAAACTTTCAAGACATTAAAGGAAATTGATTATTTCTTTAATGACATTAGAATCAACGTACACTCTATTCTCGTTAATAAATGAGAGTTTTAGGAATCAACCGAAAGGATGACGTTTTCTTTGAAAATAATAATACAGATAAGCTAATTAAAAATAACATTGTATTGCAGCATGTTTATTAAATACAGTTTAAACAAATTATATCTAACGAAAATTTTTTGCATTTTTATTTGATTATTTTAATAAAAATTGATGTGTTTTTGCTAAGTCTCCATTACAAGCAATTTTGAGATAAAATAGAGATAATAAATTATTAAACAAAAACTTCCCTAAATTAATATAAAAATGAATAGAGTAAATTCTCTACACTTGTGTCCTGTTGCGAAGAAATTGAATTAAAAGTACCTTACACCATTGTTCATACTTAAGATAAAAATAGAAAGCATTTTTCGTTGTTTGGTTAATTATCACGTGTGTTTTAGGTGTTTAATTAACGTAGTTTCGTAACAGTCATAATAATAATAGGAGGCGCATAGATTTTTCAACAACATAAAAGCAACATCATTTTTCAAGAAAAATGACGTTTTTAATTAATGTATAGTATAAAAATAGGCAACAATAAAAAAGTTAAAGAAAAAAGCACCCAGTGTTTTCCTCTAAATTTATATTGTATAAACTTTAAGATTATATTTCTTAATAAAAGCCTAATTTACTACAAATTCCTTTGAATAAAAATTAAAGAAAATTTTTTTATACCAATTGACATGGTTAACTTTATGAAAAAAACATTTCAATTATCAATATTATCTATGTATATATTAGAAAGTAATGGTAACAATAAAAATATAATTATTTTTTTTATATTATTTATATTGTATTTATTACCATATTATAACTTTTGTTTAACTAATAAGTTTGATTTTTTCACTGTGTCAAATTGGCAACCCGAATGTCGGGCAGTTCGCTTTAATAAATAAAGATGTTTCCCTCCCTAGTAAATTTATCAGAAATGCTCAATATTTTTTAACATTTTTATCGTAATAGATAAATACTAAAATAGAACTTAATTAGAAATATAGTAATCATTTCCTAGTAACTTTTAGTGTTTAAAAAGATTCTACAATTGAATTATGAACTGAATTAATTTTAAATGATTTACTTTAACTAAAAAACTAATCAAAAAAAAGTTATTAAAAAGATCTAAATATCCACTGTTAATTCAAGAGAAACTAACATTAACTTTTTTAGAAATGATTTAATTTATATAGCAACATGTTACCAAAAAAATTGAAATATTATAATCTAGTAGTAGCACATACAAATAGAGTAAAAAAATTATTAAATTACAAAGTAAAATTATTTAATTTTGTAATTGAAACTTATCATTTCAAACTTGATTCATCAATAAATACTTTGAATACATTAGAAATGAATGATTTTAATTGTCTGTATAAAGAATATGGGTAACTGTATAATTGATAAATTAGAATTTTTTTCAATTTTTGAGGGTAATATCTTCAACTAGATACGAATTGTAATCATTTGACGTATCGTTGAAAAAAATAGGTCAAGCTAGAGCAGAGAAAATAAATGATAGTCACAAAGAAATATCTTCTTAGCTTAGCATCGAAGCTAAAACATAAAATATAGTAAAATAATTTTTATATGAATAAGAAATTTCTTCTCGCGAAGGACGACTATAGTAATAGGAATCTTGAACTTTATTGAACCTAAATGAGATAAAAATCAAAGGAGTTGAACATTTATTCTAACTTAAAAAGAAAAAAATGTAAAAAATTCCTTGCCATACACGGGTTGGAACCTTATACCCCAAACGCGTAAGACACAAGTGTTACCGACTCGGCAACCGTACGTCGCATCGTCGACTGAAAAAAATGGCAATTTAAGCTAGTTCAAATTTCAAAGTTATTTTGCTTGACTTATTTAAGATATATAAGTTTTAGTATTTCCGGAAAATTTGCAAAAATTAATTGAAAATGTCCTAGTTTCAATACGCATGTTTAAAGTTTTGACACCCCTTGTATAAAGTGTGTCAGATGAAAGGGGTATATAATAATTATTTATAAAAAATAATAATATTGTTCCATACATTTTTCCATAAATTATAGCAATATAAATTTAAAAATATAAAATCGAGAATTTTTTCACGTTTTTCTTTAACTTTGATGTCTGTTTTCATCATTAAGACAAGTCCAGAGGAAATTTTTTTTTTTCAAATTAAACTATATTACATAAGCTTTAATTTAGGTATATATAAATGCGTCAGTCTTTCCGGAACATTTTCAAAAGTTAATTTTATGTGAAAAAGTTTCCATTTTGAAACACTTGGAAAGGGTCAGATTTTAAAAAATATATATATATATAATGTTAGATACGTACCTTACGTATCTATATAAAAAAATTATATTTATATGATCATTTTTAAAAAAGTTATGACAGTTTTAAGAAAAAAAATTGAATAAATTTCGAAAATTAGCGATTTATAAATTTGTAATTTTTCGGGAATTTCCCCTATTTACAGGAAACGATGGAATTTTTTTCAATTTTTGAGGGTAATGTCTTCGAATAGATACGATTAGTGATCTTTTGACGTATTGGTCATCAAAATCGTACCAGCGAGAGCTGAGATTGAGTGTTTATAGACACAAAAAAAAAAATAATAAAAAAAAATAAATATAAAACACATCATAGTAAAATTAATACCTTCTTAATTTCGCATCGAAGCTTAAAATAGTAAAAATTTAGAAAATAAGTGTCATAAATTTAGCCCTATTAAAAATTTTTTTTATAAAAATCATAATAATATTCTAAATTATTGTATCACACATTAAATAAAAGGATAACTTCTTTATTTTATAGAAGTCGACCTTCTGTATAATAACCTTGATAAATATATTTTTGTAACATAAAAATCATGAGGATTTTGAGGGATTTAACTTTTTAAATTATTTAAAATTAAAGTTTTAAAATTTCCAGGAATTTCAGAAAAGTGGAAAATTTCATTTAAGAGTTTTAAATTTATTATTATTTTTATTTAATCATCTCTAAATTTCATTTTAAATAATTGTCAATAACTTTCAAACAGATCATTAGAAATTTTCACCTGGATATAAAAAATTTTAATTTATAAGACTATTAATAGTCTTTTTCTTTAAAAAACCATAATTATTTTTTTACTAAACAATAAAAAACATAATAAATCAATGAGCAAAGAAATAGAAATTATTTTTGTTTGGGAGTTAAAGTGTATAGCTTCAAACTGTATAATTTTTAAAGTGATGTTAAAATTTTCCTGTTTTTTGTTAAAATAATTACAGTAGTTTTTTTTATAAATAAAATTTCATTAAGATAAAATTTAAACATAAAATGGAGCTACTATATTATTGTACTAACGCCTTCATTTTTAGCACAAAGAACATCTTGCAAAATAATTAAGATAAAGAAAGACATTTCAACAAAGAAATTTTTGAAAACACAAAAGTAAAAGTAGGATTGAAACCCCCACTGATATTTTTTCTATTAAGACAGACGCCCACGTAAATCAAAATAAAAAATCACGATAAAAATATGTAAGAATATAATAGTGAATTAGACGTCAAATTCTATAGACACAATGATCGAAGCGATTTTAATTTAATGTTATGATATGTTATAGTGTTTCCACTACAACATACAATTTTGGTGTTGTACACCAAATGAATTCACAAAATTATAAAAAATTATGCATTATATTATGATGAATGACAGCATCTTTTATAATTTATAACTGTATAAATAACTTTTAAATATTTTGTTATATTTCTTAAAACTATAAAGTTATGTATCTTTAAATAAAATTATGACTAAAGAAATATTAAACATTTTTTTTATAAAAAAAAATAATATTAAATAAAATTAACAATATTTTTTTGTGAAATTACTCTTTCATTAAGGCAACATTTTAATAATTTATGTAAGTATTTAAAATATATTGAAATTTTACAGTAATAATCTTACTTGATATATTTTATTGATATTAATCCCGAACATTTTTACTCTCAAATTTGTATTATTTTTTCAATAAGTTTAGTCTTAAATAAATATTTAATTGGTGATATGCATATTTCAAATGATAGTTTAATTAATGAACTATTGTAGTTTTGTTAATTTACTTTATTTGTTTGTTACCTTATAAAACTATTTTTCGTTATCAAAGCTATATTAAGTTTCTTAATTCTTATTGCTCTTTCAAAAACAATATTTTTAGCTTCGATGGGAAGCTGAATTGGTATTAATTTTACCATGATGTGTTTATTTATTTTTTGTGTCTGTCACTACTTTTTCTCAGCTCTCACTGGACCGATTTTTCTCTACGAAATGTCAAAAGATCACAAATCGTATCTAGTTAAAGACATTACCCTCAAAAATTCAAAAATTTGCCCTCGTTCCCCGTAAATAGTGAAAATCCCCCAACGAATTACGATTTTTAAAATCAGTAAACTTCGACATTTTTTTTCTAAAAATTGCCATAACTTATTGAAAAATGAATAAATCAAAATAATTCTTTTTTAAATCAAAACCTTAAATATTTTCCTTTTATTTGATATAAATTTTTTGAAAATATGACCTTTTACCTGTCCACAGCGGGGGAATCAAAATTGCAACTTCTGCACAAAAATTTTACTTTTTCAAGTTAAGTTTTGAAAATCTTCCGGAAATATTGACACTTCTATTTAGTCTTAAATTAAAGCTTATGTAATATACTATACTATGAAAAAAAAATTGCGAGATACAGTGAACATATTCAATTTATCATATATTTAAAAATATGCTATTTTTGTGTTAAAATTTGTTTACATTGATTTTTACTAATTGACATAGAACATAAAGTTAAACTTATTTCAATTTTTTTTCTTTTAAGTCGAAAAAATTAATTTTAGCATTTGAATCAGCTTAAATTGCCAATTTTATTAAAAAATGAATACGACAAACGTTTGCCGATTCAGTAAAAATTATTGCCTGTAGCAATGATATTTTTGCAATTTTTCCTTATTTCTTTTTGAATTAGAATTTTGCTTTTAAAAAATTTACCAATTTCTTAAAATTAAACAATATCTACAGATTTGAATCGAAGCGTTTCTTATGATAGTAATTTTTAATTACTGTCAGATATCATCAATACTAGTCCCAACTATTCCAAACTCACACTGTGCTACCGGTTTTTTAGTACAATATAAACCCATGTTTTCATTTTTTTATTAATGAATTAATTTAAATTAATTAATTAAGTTTTATTAATTAAAATTTTTTTATTTAATACAAATCACACAGCAATTTTTTAATTTTTAAAAATTTTCTATATTTTAATAATGATCAGTCTTCAAAGAGTCACAAACATATAATATTATAGATTTAAGTAGTAAATTATTAATGATATGTTTAAGTTCTATGTTTATAAATGCCAACATAGATTAGATTGGAAACACGTCATGCTTCGTTGCGTATGCATAGTGTTAGACTTTGTTGTGTTTGGTTAAGTAGGTTATCCTGTCTTTTACAGAATAAGATTTAACATTAAAAAGAGTATATTAAGTAACTATATTTTACTTAAAATACCGATCAATTTAAAAAAATATAATACATACCTGGACCGAATTCGTCATTTTTGAATATGAATGGCTGTACGGTGAACGCTCTCAGCAAAACGTAACCTTTTATTGTAGGAACGTCTTGATCACTTAACACTACACTTATTTCTTTTTGACACGAATAAGATTGGCCGACTGGTGTCATAAACAATAAATTGCTGTAACTGCTAGTCGTTGATAGGCGTACAATCTTATCTGTGAAAAAATAAAAATGAATATTATACTAATATTCTGAACTGCTCTTTTTATCATCATTTCAACTATTTCATAAAGAACTGACAGTATATTTTAACGAATTTTTGTTGGTTGGCATTAATGACATATTTACAAGATGAATTATTTCGGGTTAAATCTCCCAGAAATTCGCACTTACTATGAAATTTAATTTATTTTACAAATTTTGTATAGTTCGAACACACCATTTAGTCAATACATTTTTTTATTGATTTGAAAACTTAATAGTGTGTTTTTTCTGATGTTATAATTTTGGGATTATGGAGATCAATGTCGCCTATAATGAGAAATATATCTGTGTTACTACATAATCCTACGGCAAAGTTACACAAATTTGGGACCTTTCAAAGTATATCAAATAAAATGTATAAACACATTTAATTCACAGCCTTGGTGATCAGTAAATAATATTTACTAATCCTGATGTTAGCCAACATATTCACTAAATATATATTGACTAACATCAGGGAAGCACCAAGTCTTGTTTTTATAATATTTTGGATGAAAAGCAATGTAAAAAAAAGATTATATGGATAAATTAATTATGCAGATGAAACTCATGAAAAACCCTAATGTCTATATAAAAATTTAATTAACAGCCAGAAAAGTAATTAAAAAAAACAATTTTAAAAATTTTAGGTTAAAATTTATCAAATTTTTATTTTTGTCAAGGCAAGAAAAAATGTCACTATTTTGATCCAAAATGGTTTTAAGCGAATTTCCTGGTTAACTTTTGTACACCTACGTCTGAAAGAAGAAAAAACAAGGAAACTTTGTAACAGCAAATAAAAAACACGAAATTCAAGAATTACTTTTATTGATTTTTTACGTAAGTAAAAATCTATTTTTTTTTAAAATATTATATCTATAACGTAGTAAAAAAAAATGCAACTTATAATTATTTAACATTTTTTTAATTTGAGCAAACACATAAAATTGTGGCGTGTCCATTAGTTTTTGTATGGAATAAAGAAAAATGATAATGAAACAATTGAATATGTCATTTCAACGTGAAATTTAAAGATGTATTAGTGTGTTGCTGGTAACATTGGTTTCAACTATGAACAAATGATTATGAGAATGAAAACTAAAAAGATAAGTGATCACGTTTAATTTCAACAAGAAGTAACATATTTCAAAGTAAATATTTATCCGCGTATACAATAATACCAACACGTTGAGAGTTTATATAAAGAAGTACAAAAGCGATAGTGACTTATCGGACTTGGCATGAAATCGCACAAAACACATTTCACCATTAAATAAATTTATGATGTGGAATTGTCCAAGTCAGACATAAAGTCTCAGGTGCCTAGAGGCACTTACCGAATCATTGCTTCTCTTCAGTGACATGTTTTAATTTACTACAGGAGGGGTCTGTATAACTTCACCCATCTACTTTTTCTAATTATAATATTTTATGTCAATGACATGAAATTCGGACCTCGTGACACTCACGTAATATACCACTATTCCTTGTTGGTATTATATTAAATAAAAAAATATTCATGTATCTATTTAGAAAGGTAAATTACTATCTCACTTATTTAGATGGCCCTTAAAAATTTGGGTGTAAAGCAGCTGCCATGTCTGCCTGGGCCGAAATTCGGTCCTGCGTAATGTAAAAAATGGATGGTACCTTAAACTAGTTACTACATTTTAGCTTCAAAGCCAGATACCTACTGTGCCGTATCCCGACTTTTCTAGAGTTTTTCTTAAGTTATAAACAGAAATACTGTCTATAAATTCTACTATAGGCGATGCAATATAATTACAAGTTAATTTTATTAAACAATTCAAAAGAATAATAAAATATTGTTACATAAGTGAAACATAATAAGTTAAGAGGATTGCAATTTGGACCGGAGAATAGTATATCAAGGTGATTTTAGTAATGTTATTAACTAAAAAAAAAACTAGATATTATTGAATTTGCTGATTTTTATTAAAAAAAACTAAAAAGAATATATTAGTGTTTAACAAAAAAGTGGAAAGTATGAGAATTAATAATATTTTTACTACATCTAAAATACTGCGTATAATTTGTTTTTTTTTTTTTTTTTTTTTTTGTAGTTATGTTAGTACAAATGAAAAACAAATTGAGCAACATTGATAATATTTTTCATTGTCCGAGGAAAAGAATAAATTATATTCTTTAAATTTTAATAGCTTTGTTTAGTAGCTAATTGAATATAAAAAAAATTCAAAGCGGAAAATATAGTAATAGGAATAACTTGTTCAAAAGAATGAAACGATTTTTATCTCAAAAATATATTCTTAATTAAATAACTATTAACTTCAAACAACAAAATGATAAAACAAATTTACTAACACAACATGAATTTTGTTAAAAACGTCTCTCAGCGCGTTTACGTGCACAGTTTGCCTATACAAAACGCCGTCATACGAAATAAAATTGAAAATTTATTAATTAACCTGTTCATAAATAAAATTGCACTTGAAAAAAAAATCAAATTTTCAAATGATGCATTAAAACTTTTTGAATTTATTTAAAACCAAAAAATTATAATACAATGGTTAAAATAAGCAAATTGAACATTTAAATAGTTTGGCAGATGTATAATTGATGACCGAACAAAAAAAAAAAAACCAGCCAGACCTTAAAGATAAACTTTTTTACAATCAGGAAAAATGAGGATAAAATATTTAATCTTGAATCCTCTGAATAATAATTATATTTGAACGCCTTCGAAATGTATTTAAATATTTCTCATATTAAAAGGGTAAGACATTAATTCGCAGAAGTATTTATACACTTTTGGTAGATAACGTAAATTACAACTCTAAAAATGTTTTTGTAATGAACTTATTTTATTAAATTGAGTCGAAATCATTATTAATTTTCTTTGCAAAGAGAAAATCAAGACTGAGAAAACAACACCCGCGCTACATTGTAAGCAAGTTTATTCTTTGCGACATTATTGAATTCAGAAACTTTTACTAGGAGGGATCTAATCATTAGTAAAACCAAAAAAAAAAGATTTTTTATAATATTTTCATAGAATTACCACAAAAATAAAAAGGATTTTAAATCAGTATTAGCTTAAACAATACGAAAATTTGAAAATTGTCATTTCAACCCAAGATGATCAGGGGGCTTCAGTGCCCTCTGAAATATAACTGGATTCAACGCTTATTGTAAGACGAAAAATCTGACATTACGAGCTAATATTAATAGTTTATTTACAAGGTAAAACCCGGAAAGAAAAATCATTGAAAAAATATTGACAATATAGTAGTATGTACTGTTCTTACCTCGTGTTGTGATGTGTTGAAAATGTTTGTCGGCTGTGTTGATCTCCAATTCTATCGCCTTTACGAACCATCTTTCGCCCCCAAGCGTCTGAAAATAATGAACATAAGGCATCTATTTATTGCTGTATATTATAGTTTATAGTGAGAAATAAAAATTTCAAAATAGTTCATTTTTTTCATAATTTGTATTGTTACATTTATTTGTAAGATATAAATATTATAACTAAATAACGCGTCTTTTTTTTTTTTTTCGTTCGTTTGTGATGGTCGTCCCGATGAAGTATTTTCACTATCTCATGTGATAAAAAGAAGATGAGAGAGGTTATGTAATGCACGATAGCTGCGTCGACTACAAAACATGTTTTTTCTTTCAGTTTCTTTTTAATTTTAACGAAAAATTATTAACAATATGATGTGTTAATACTCTATCGAAGAACCACATTAAGAATTTAATATAAAACAATATGTTCAATATTCAAATAAAATAACTCCAAACCAGATAATTAGGTCAATCATTGAGAAAATAAAATAAAAAAGTCAGGAATTAAATACATATCTCCAATACTACTACAGAATCTACTGATTGTTTATACGTTTTTTTTTTTTTTTTTTGAATGTTTATATTTTTTTTGTATTATAGAAAACTCTAAAAAAACAATAATTTAGTATTCTTTTAGTAATTTGTTAAATAACTATTTTTGTTATGATAAATAAAAATAATAAAATACCATTTCATGTTGTTTTTTTCTGGAAAACATGTGAAATTGTTACATCAAACATCATATATATTAAGAAATCCAATTATTAAATAAATCGTTTAAATCGCCCAAAGCAATTTTCATTGAGATACACTACATGCAAGTTTAATTATTCCGAAAACGCCTTTTGGATTTCTGCGAAACAACACGGTGATTAACTTATTTACATTAACACATTTCGAAGTCACTCAGAAGGTTCAAGCTTATTCCTACCCTAATTTAGCTAATTAAAAAAATAAACAATAGAATAAATAAAATAAAATTCATTTTGTATACCCTAAATTAAGCAATTTATTTTTCGTTATATAAAAACATTAAAATGTTATTTTTTTAGATAGTGACGGAAAAATAAATTTAAAAATCTAAAAACATTAAATTAAGCTTCCCTGAGGTTAAAAACCTAAATGCATTAAAAATATACAAAGTGTCTCCGGTTTGGCAACGTCAATATCATATTTTAATGTTTTCTTGAGTCACTCATCACTAAAATGCAATTGCTTAGTGGTAAAACGATATTATGTTTCTTTTATTTTTATAGATTGTTATATGAGTGAAACATGGCTATTTGAAATGCCAACAAAGTTACCAATGTTTAACTACACTTGGTAAAATAGTGCGTATCCAAAAAATTGAAATAATAAATTTTAATTTAACTATTTACAAAAATACGAATATGTAAATTTTTAAGCAATATCAGTTATTTAATGTATTTAATTATTCATATAACTCATGTACACGTGAAATACATCTTATTGTGTACATAAGTTATTGACATTAAAGACTTAAATGAAAGAAATTTTCTAAGACAAAAAGTTTTTACATTTTAATATTTCATATGTGTATGTTCTTAATGTAATTTTCAAGCCACTTATTCTTCAAGCTCGTAAAATGCAAGTCAAAATTAATGTTTAATTGAGAATAACCATTATTTGATAAAAACTTACTTTTGTAAAGTACCATGTAAAAATAAAGTTTTTCCACTTGAGTATTAGTGTAGCTTCATCCTCGTTACTACAGTCTCCGCTAACTTCAGCATCATCAGGAACATACAAATCAGTTTGCTGTAAAAAAAAATATATATTTTACTGAGCACCAGACGCGCATTTGAATTTTAAGAACTCACATCTTCGGATCCTAATTTTGTTTTGAATTTTACTTCTATGACAGCATCTACTCTCAATAATATACATGTACTTCCTTCTTCTTCATTTAGTCGAAAAAGTGACGTAACAATATTGCTAGGCTGAGTCGCTGCAAAATATGTAGTTAAATAAATAAAAATGTTGATTAAAATGATTTTTTAGTATTCAACAAGTGACAGTTATATTGAAGGGGGGTGATACACATGAAGCCCCCTCATGTAAAGTCCCCAATTTGTAATCAGTCAATTATGATGTTTTAAATGTATTTGTTTATTAACCAATATGAATTGATAATATTTGTGATCGTTTATTCTAAACTCATCTGCTAAACAACCAATTACTCTTCTATGAGAATATTAAGTACATGAAATTCATTTAATACGCTTACCGCTATTTTATTCTACATCCTTTTGACAATATAAACATATGTCTGTCGATTCATTTGAATTTTCTAACAATATTCTTTTATGCATGTAATCTCCATAAGAACCGGGATTAAAATTATGATCGAAATTCATCTCATTCATAATAATGATCGCATACTAAATTAAATACACTTTGCAGTTATAAATTTGTTTTTGATACGTGTTTAACATTACGTTTAATTAACAATAACTTAGAAATATTATCGTCATTAAACAAATGTTTTTTTATTGAGCAAAGTATTTTTTTTAATTTTTGTCAAGTACGTTAATGAATTTTAGTAGTATACATTGAATCTATTATATAATACTCATTAATCTCAAAATTCACTGCTGCAATATACAATGCCTCATTGTAATTCATGACATAACTAGTGCACTTTATTTTTCAAAATTATACCTATCTTTTAATGTTTTACTTAAATTTCTACTTTCTAAAATTTTTGAAAAATCATTACTTTTGTGGGTGGTCATTGTCAAATCTTTTAGGTTTTCCATTTCATTTTCATAAATTATAAAAAAAAAATGATTAATGTCTCTAATTTACAGCGCTGAAAGTTCTAAGGGAATATATTATATTATAAAAAAAAATTTATAGCATTTTAAAATGCTAGAAAACTTATTGAAAATGCTGTTTTTAACGATATTACAGTTAGACATATTTTTCTAAATTTCTAAAATTGCGGTGGTTTTTTCAATTTTTGGTGACGTTAGGATCAACTAAATTAAAATCTGATTATTTGAAATAATGAACATTAAAATCGATCCAATGATGAGACAGGCATATTCATGGACAGACTTAAAAAAATATTTATTATGACAAAACCAATACATTCTTAGCATTGGAGATAAAAATATATCCCTTTTAAATGTGTAATAGTTTAAAACATCAAGAAAAGTTGTACGAGCACACTCAGTTTGATTCTTATGGCAACTAACAAGTATATTTATAGCCATAATTGGAATTTTTCTATATTATCCTATGATTTTTCGCCCCTCCTTAAAAGTCATTTACAACCGCCACTATATTGAACATATTATGTACAATACATTAACGGTTAAAATGATAATTTTGTGCACATTGCTCATTAAGATATGAGAAAGAAAAGAAAAAGATATGGATACAAAACTGACCAAAGGAAAAAACTCTTGTACTTAGATTGATTGTCAAGCAATAAAGTTTTGTCTTATATTGCAAACAAGTGCAATGTACTATTCAAAGAAATTGAAAGTGTATAATCAGGGCCGGGCCGATCAATAGTGGCGCTTCTGGCAAAATGAAAATTTTGCGCCCCCCCACCATAAAATAATTAATACAATGTAATCATATTTTATTAATTTTCAAATAATATCTTATTCCTTTAAATACTAAGAGCATATCTTTTGTCTCTTACATTTACATTTTACATAATTATTAAAATTTAACTTTTCTGGCTTTTTTGGAAGCAAATTCTTCAATTACTAAAGTGTAGTCCATTTTAGATGCAATTTCGTGTTCGATTGAAAGTATTGCTAAATTTGTTAGACGTTCTTGAACCATGGTGGAACGAAGATAATTTTTTATGATCTTTAATTTACTAAAACTTCTCTCGCAAGTAGCTGTAGTAACAGGCATTGTTAAAAAAATTCTTAATGCCACTTCTAAATTTGGGTATACATCTTGTAGAGAATTTTGATGTATGCATTTTAAAAATTCAAAAGATGTTGCAGTTTTAAATGATGCTATTAATTTTGAAGCTTGAAATTTGAAACTTTGAACGTCAGTGTATAATTCACTACCATTCAAATCAACACTGTATAACAACGCTAGATCATCCGACCATTTTCTAATATCATCTATTTCCATACTCGATAAATTTTGACCGGACAAAAATGCAAATTTTGAAGATACATTATACATTTTTTCAAATCTCCATTTTAGACTCGTAATAATAGAATCTAGAGATTGATAGCATTGTAGTTTTACATTAGTTTCAATACTTTCCCTCGTTATACTAGTTTTTATATTATTTGACTCGTATGTTTTGCGTTTTATTTTTCTTGTAGTTGGAAAATCAGTGGCTATATTAAATAAAAGTGCAATTTTTTTAACTTCATTCAATGTATTTTCAAAACCATTTTCTCTTATATTTTGAATGCATTCAATTAAACCTTCTAAACTTTTGGTTGCCACATCAATAGTTTGATTTTGATTCTGTAATATTAAATTTACTTTATCAATTTGTTCTAGAATAGAATCCCAAAAATGAAGGAGGAATAAAAACTTGAAATTTATTTGTTTTAGAATTTGTTGAGCAGATGTTATTGTATTTTTATTAAAATCTACCGTGTTAGTCACCATATGGTTCAGTATATCAAAAACGGGTTTAAAATTTAATTTTAGAGCACTAACTGCTTGTTTTTTTGTACTCCAACGTGTGTCACAATGAGATTTTAAAGTGATTTTCATAGTTTTCATTAAGAGTTCCCATCTACTTGTCGAACCCGAAAAAAATGAGTATATATTCTGAATTAAGCCAAAAAATGTTATCATCATGGGTGAAACTTCTGCAGCATGGACACCTACTAGGTTTAGGCTATGTGCAGTACAAGGTAAAAATGTAGCTAATTCATTTATACGTAAAATATGTGATTGTACACCATTATTAATCCCTGCCATATTCGCGCCATTGTCGTAACACTGTCCTCTACAGTCCAGTATATTAATTCCATTATTTTTTATAGTATTTAATATTTCATTAGAAAGCCCTAATCCTGATTTTTCGTTGGTACTTAGAAAATCAATAAATGATTCTTTGATCATGATTTCTCCATTAGAAATGTGGACATACCTGATAATTTGTGACATTTGTTCCTGATGAGATTTATCAGGAGTACAATCAAAAAGAATTGAGAAGTATTTTGATTTTTGTATTTGTTCAAATATAGTTTGTCTTACTTTCTGACCCATTATACAGATTATTTCATTTTGAATTTTATGAGAAAAATAACTGATAGTCGGTTTATTACTTTCTGTAATATGTTTTACATGAGCTAATAATATAGGATTGTAATGACTTATTACTTCCATTAGGCTTAAAAAAATATTTGTATATTATATACAGTATATATATATATAGCTATATCGAGTATCGACTATTAAATTTGATGGAAAGATAAGACTATTTTTAGACACGACGAGCCGGCGAGTGATTATCCGGTATTATTGTCGCCCGCAAATTGTATTTTTAAATTTGTTTATTACCCGGCGACTATGAGTTAAAGCGAAATAATTTATATCACTTTTTCCTCACAATTATAAATTATACTTACGGGCTACGTGTATAATTAATATGGACATTATTATACATTATACTTGTTTAATACTAGGTAGTTCACACTTTATAGTATCATTTCGGTAACGTCGTATTTCCATCCAATAATAGTTTTTAAATTATTATAATATTTTGGTTTTGATTTTTAAAATCTAATTTAATGACTTCATCAAATTTTGCGCCCCAATTCTCACTAGATATTTTGCGCCCCTGGCAGGCGCCCACTTTGCCAGGCCCTCGGCCCGGCCCTGTGTATAATATGACAATTTATAATAATGCAACTGCATATTGTCAAAATTATTGATAGAACGGAAAAAATGATGAACTAGAGGCTTCAGTTTTTACATCTATACTTATAAAACACTTGGAAAAAAATTTCTTGAATTAAAAAGAACGCATAATTATATACTCTAATGGCTGGGGATATCAAAATTGAAATATCACTCAAATGCATTATTACATTTATAAATTAAACATCAAGTATCTTATAATATTGTGCATAAGAATCTCATTAAGGAGTACACCCAAATAGTGTGATAACTTGCAAAGTCTTTTAGAAAGAAAACTTAAAAGACAACACATACACTTGCTATCAGATTACATTAGAATAACCAAAACAGGAAGAAATACTCCTTCACAACCAGGAGCTAAATTGTTGAATTATAAAGTTTCTTAAATTTTAAAACAAACCAACCCATATTCATCTATTAGGCATTGTCGCATAAAAGGGGATCTCGAAGTTAAGGACACAAGATCCTTTCTTTATTACCCAACCACAAAGAAAATTACACACAAATTATTATTTGATGAACCTTAAAACACACAAAATGAAATAAAATATGAAAACCTCTATAAAAAACCATTAATTAGAACTTTATAAAAATAGCAGGACCTACAAAAACTCAAACAATTTCTTCCAGCTGACACTTGTTCATTTTATGACAGTTTAGAACATGCTTCATCATTAAAACCTAAGAATGGTAAAATTGAATATTTTTATAGTGATCAATACTAGTCATTATAAGATCATAATTTTATTATGATACATGTTTTTAAAAAAGTAATGAATATTATACTATTTTATTTTAATAGGTGCAATATAATATTAGGAATTATATTATTAACTAATTAAATTATATTTATATTATTTATATAACTTTTTACTGATCACTAATAATAAATTATTTGTTGTTTTATATAAAACCTAAACTAATTACTGAATTGTTTTAGAGCAATTTGTATTGTTATAGTGATTTTTTTATCACTTCATTATATGTTAATTGTTATTTTGTAAGATTATTATTTTATATGAAACCAAAAGACTGGTTATTAAATTGTTTTAAAATAATATAAAACCAAAAATAAACAATTTAATGATTTTGTATCGTGCTGTTATTATTTATATTGTATACCTATTAATTGAAATTATTAAAGAACTTATTGTTCATATTAATGAACAATATTAATATTAATGTTAGATTTAAAGAAGTATTGAACTTAAATAACCGTATTTAATACTTATTCAATAATAAACTGGTAATTTATTATAAATATAAATAATTAATACAAGTCTATATTGTGTTAAATATGTGTTAATGACTTTACCCAATAGGATTTAATCATTGTCAGTTACGTGTTGTTTCACCGTTAAATTAATGTAATAACTACACGTATCTGAAAAAAGTTGTGAATAACTCGTATCTACATTAAATAATATAATGATAATAATAAATTAGTGTTTTTAATGTATACATGTGTAAGTATAACATAAAAACTTAATTCAGTAATTGCTAAACTATTTAGACTAAATTAAACAGTTTTTTGGCCTTCCTGTAAAATAGTACTTTTGGAGATATGTGTTGTTGCTATTATGATAGCGATATATAATTGCATAACATTTTTTATTTTGGTAATGAGGTAAATCTATACACAACATGAAGTTTATTTTTTACAATTCATTATCAAAGTGCGTTAAACCGCACTCGGCGTTCATTACCCTCAGTAAAAACACCATAAATGACATAAAAACACAACTTTTGTGAATATTGTGGTTAAATGGGTAGGGGCGTTAATGATGATCACATTTTACTATTCTGTATGAGGATTTTTCAGATTATATTGTCATTATCGCATTCGCCATTAGATCAATTTAATTGCTTCCACTTCATTGTCTGTCAATATATCAGAAAATAAAATTAAAATTCATCCATTCAAAAATGTTTAACTTAATATCAATGTACATACTAAGTTAACAAGTCCCTTAAGACTGCCGAACGGTTTACTACTAACACTGTTCTCTACATGAAATATGCATAATACTATGATGTCAAAATATTGTTTCATTAAAGTTATACCCCTAAGCGTTATTTTGAAATATACATTGACGCAGTACAACTCATTATTTAGTTTTCCTGTTATAACTAGGATTTTTTGTTTCACGTATGTTTTCTAACGAACTAAGTAAAATTAACAATGAAAAATAATGAACATCGGATATCTAAGTATTTCTGTATATTATATTTTATGATGAGAAATACAAAAAGTTCATTTAATTGTTTTTTTTTTTGAAAACATCTGAATTTGTTTCATCATAACTAGATATTTACAAATCTAATAATTAAAAAAAGCGTTAACCTTTCGAATCGCTCAAAGCAATTTTCATTGAGGTTCACTAATTTCAAATTTAATAATTCCGAAAATGCCTTGATTTTGAACGATTTTGATTTGCCATGACATTTGAAAATGGATTTCCATGAAACAACACGGTAATTAACTTATTTACATTAACACGTTTCGAAGTTACTCGGAAGGTTCAAGCTTATTTCTACCATAAATTTAGGTAATTAAAAAAATTAACATATTAGAATAAACATAAAATTTATTTTGTCAAAAACTTTTAGCTTAAATTTCTAGTATATTCTATCTATCAAGTCTCAAAAGACTGTTCAACATTTTATTAAAGCTTATTCCTATTGTTGGATACACATCTGTCGAATGTGCTGTCGAGAATTTGTGTTGTGATTATTTAGGCTATCGTTGTGCTACACTGATTTGTTGTCGGTTTTCTTTCTATGTCTTATTATGTCCTATTTATGTCCTATTGTCGCCGCCATCTTAATACATATTTCAGTTATAAGCTCTATGGCGCTTGCGAACCAGTAGTTTTGTATTCGTTTTATTGTTAAAGAAAAATATCACCTTTGCAATTGTCGCACCCTTGTGCACTCAGTATATCGCCGTTTTATATTTTCTGAGATACATCACAGTACCGTTCACAGCATATTGTACACGTTGGTCAGCTACTTGCTTTCGACTTCAATTGATCCTTTCAATATTCCACATTATCATCAGCCGTTTCAATTAGCCCATAAGTATAATGCTTGTTCATCTTTTTTTAAGACTCACTCACATTTATAATTTATTATTTGTGTATATCAGCGCCATTGTAGCATTAGTATTAATTGTCCCCCTATCCACTTTGGTGTATATAAGATTTTATGATTCATATATAATACATTTAATTGTTATATGTTTTGAAAATTCATTCTACATTCATTCATACAGTCCACCCACCTTATTCCTTTTTCTTTGACATAGTCTGACTTAAGACAAAATAAAACAACAAACGTTAACAAACCCGCGTGAGTACCACCGGGCGCTGCGTTCATCACCTATTCTAAATTTAGAAATTTTTTTTCGGTTGTAAAAGCATTCAGATGTTTTTTTTTTTTTAGGATATTGAGAGCAAAATTAATAAATTAAAAAATCTAAAAACATTAAATTAAGCTTCCCTGAGGTTAAAAAACTTAATGAATTAAAAATATACAAAGTGTCTCCAGTTTGGCAACATAAATATAAAATTCAATACGAAATACCAATGAATTTTCCAATGTTTAATTAAACTTTGTAGAACCTAAGTAAAATTATCAATGATTACAGAATAGTCTTTAAAGTGTAAAAAAAATGTACAGGATTTAAAATAATTATAGATTAATTATAAGTATTTTGTATATAAAATGTCCAAAAACATTGAAAAGTCTTCTTATAGTGTTATAACACTATTTTTAAAAAAAGAATAAATGTTTTTATAAGAACAAGACTGACTAATTAAGTCGCTGACATCCATAGGTAAAAAATTATTATATTTATAATAATTGATATTAAAAAATATTAATTTATTGAGTAATAAATAGTAATAATATTTTTTTTGCTTACTCGTCGTCATGTCAACTTTATACAACGCGGCACTTTTTCTGACTGACCTTTGGGGTTCATCTTTGTCAGCGTTGGAGACAGGATCCAGTAAACTCTCTTCTTGTACTCGATTCTATAAATAAGACAATAAACAGAACCATTAAAATTGTTGTAAAAAATAATACTACCTACAATCGTATATTATAAGCTGGGTTACAATACTAGTATTTTATGATTACTAATAAAGCTAGTGGTGTACCTAAGCATTTTTAAGACCTGATATATTGTTTATTTGAGAATTAAAAAGAAACCAGTGGGTTTAAGTGTGTGGGACGCAAAGTAATTTAATTCCTCTACATCTAAAAGTGCTTAAAAAGTGTTCTCTTAAAGATAATTTTGTTCCCTGGTCTTGTAAATTGTTTAGAAAAATTTTCTAATATAATGTGTTAAATAAAAATTAAGAGAATTTTTAATATTTGGATTTGTATTAAAATATATATTTTTTTTAAAACAAATATTATGTATTATATAAGTTTAAATTTTATTTTTACAAAAATTGTTATTTTATATTTATATTTTATAAAAACATTTTTTTTTTTGCTCGAATACCACAGAATAATGAAATCACTTGGTGTATACCAATAATAAAAATTTGTTTTTCTTTTTCGTTACTTATTAACGTGTCTTTTTAAATTATGAAATCATAATTTAAAAAATTATGAGAATATGCTTTTAGTACATTTAAAAAGAGGATGCGATATCTCGTATACTTAACCCCTACCCACAAGACTGTCCATAGAAAAGTAGAACGCCCAAAATAATATTGCGAATAGGCCCCTCTCCTGAGTATTTTTTTCACTTTAAGCCCTAGGGTGTAGTTCCACTGCACTTAAAATTGGTTCTTATAAAAGTTAATAGCCAATTTCCTTATCTGTTAAAAAGAACATAATTTATGTTTGTAAAATTATAATAACATTACAATAAAACTAATCAACTTAGTGAATTATTTTTCTCATTGCATTAAAATCCTAGAACTTATCACTTTACTGATTATATATTTATAAAATTAAACTTTCCTTTTAAATATACCACTTATTATTATTTATGTCAACCACAAAACGTATTGTGACTAATAGTCTGATGGTTTTTGTAAGTTAGTCGGTAAACTTTAATCGTTACCACTTGTTAAATATCACAATGTAATAATATTATTGTACAGATTTTCTGAGTGGGCGAGAATTCCAATTTATATAACCCCGGGGTGTAACGATAATATTACACCACCATTACACGTCTACGTCACCGATACGAGAAAACGGGGGAGGTCACGTTTATTTGGCTGATTTACGGAGGCGTGTTGTAAAACAATGAGGTAACACTGTGACAGTTTACATCGGTTACGTCACACAGAAGTTTTGGTTTATTTAATCATACCTATTCCATAAAAATACGATATTTAAGAGTTCGGTTTTTATTTTTATTAAATTGTATTTTTACTGAGATATATTTTCGTGGGATTCTAGCACTAAAAATTATTCCACCCACGATTATTACAGGGTAATAAATAATATTACAAATTTATAAGAATTACACGTTTTTATTTTAAAATAAATTTATGATTGGAACTTATACAAAATTATCAATAACATTCGTCAAAAATCCTCAAGAGAGCAGCACCCACAAACATAGTTTTAAGCTAAAAATTTGTACGAGTTAATGAAATTTTATCAAGTCTATAATTATCGGTAAATTATAAAAATTTAGTTAATTATACTAAAAAATTATTGTTGTAGGTTTTTGCAGTAATACTATTAAAAATAAAATAATTTTTGTGTTTAAAAAACGAACTATTTTTTTAATATCAATAAAATATACTTAAATATGACACCTTTTTTTTTAAAATAATATACAGTTTATACAAAAAGTTTCAATATTTTTCAATTAAACCAACTGAATGAGACAGTACATAAGTTAAAGCCCAATTCAGTATAATTACTTGTAGTTATTGGCTTTTCAATTTATAAAAAATGTTTAAATACTAAATAAGTATAAATCATTTAGATGAATCAAAAAGTGACATCAGAGAAGTTAATTTTTTGAGAATTTTGTATCACAAAAATAAGCTAAAGAAGTAAAATACAGTAGATACATGACACACTAATTCTATTATTCAATTTTTAAGAATACTATTTCAATATAAAGTGAAAGCTGAAAATATTAACATTGACCTGTTTTATGACAAGTGTAATTTTTTGAGATATTTATTTTTATCAAATTTTTCAAAATTATAATGCCGATTGTTTCAGCATAATTACCTGTGGATAGGGGATACTTCCACGGCCCCTCTGCCAGTCGTAAGAGGCGACTAATGAGGTTGCGTCAAGTCGACAGCCGGCGTAAAATTTTAGTCAAATAGTATGAAGTGTCCTGAACAAAACTTAGGCGAATTGTCCCATCTCAGATGTACGCGAGGACATCAGGTGTGGCCGACCCCAAGTAGTTGGGATTAAGGCGAGGAAGAAGAAGAAGATAATGCTAATAGCTTTAATTAGATACATTTGTAATCTTATGACGTATCGTTAAGAAAAATCGGTCTAATAAAAACGGAATAATCGTGTCCATTGAAACAAAAAAATTACAGCAAAATAAAAGAAGTAATTTTTCAGCTACAACACATCGAATTACATCGCAGCTAAAATCAATACAAAATCTAATAACACTTTTCATAAAAAAAAAAATTAAAATTTGTCAATAATATAACTTTATAACCATACATAAATACTTTACAAAGTATTCTTCTTGATCTTCTATATGTTAGATTAACGAATTTTTGTACTGTACTGTTTTAAATTTATATGTAAATGCGTGCACTTAATTTACATTACTTGTGCAGTGCATAGTAATTTTAAAAATAAATCTTTTTAAATTATTTCATTATTATTAACAAATATATTGAAACCCGAAAATCATTGACCAGGTAATGTATATTAATTCTAAACATTTTAATCGGTATAACATCGGTAATACAAAAGGTAACTTACTCGTGAGATTGAGTCAGTCAACTTACTTGTTTTTTTTTAAATATACATACCCTTTAAAACGCATAAATCATATAAGTGTAATAATGCATATCATAACAAAAAGCTTTTAACGCTATAAAAACTGAGAAGCGTACGGAAAAGTTGTAAGCTATAGGAAAGTTCACTTTGTGTTATTAATCTAAGCGAAATGTTACCCATATATTTTATCTTTGCTTCGTAGACATAATTTTCATGATAATGAAATAATTAAATTTTCTATAATATATGATCAGGAATGTACAGATTAATAAATGATGTTTATGTTACTTAATTGAAAAAAAAATTGATACATTGTGAATTAAAATAATAAATACTAGAACAAAAAATAAATAGATATATTTCATTAAACATAAACTTGTTCATAGGATTTTCTTGTAATCCTACTAGTAGATTGTGTTGTATAGTTATCATACAAAATGAATAACTTGATTTTTTGCACAATTACAATAGGAAAATAAATTGTACAAATTAATGACAAAACACATCTTATTAAACTGAAAAATGGGTATTTTAATTAAGTTAATAAAGTGCACCAAATGTTTTAATTAATTTTCTTATAAATATCAAACATGAATGTTATATTAGGACAGCTTTGGTTAATGACATAATACTTAACAAAAAATTGACAAAAGACATGAGAGGTCTAATTTGAATGTTTATTTTTGCTGTATGGGATTAATTTTTGAAATTTACATAAATGCCCGTAAAGAATAATCTTGTCACGCTGTGAATACAAATTGTTTGGTGTAAATACATTTTAATACACAAATTCTAACAAAATATATCTTTTGTTCTAATTTGTTTTGTGATATAAAATTTTTTTTTCTTGTGTGTAGACAAAAATTATATGTCTGAACACATATAATTTCAGTTGAGATTTATATTTCGATACTAACTAAACAATAACAATCACAATGATTTACATACGAGTAATTCATTTATAATGAGCCCCTTAATTAATAACACTACAAATAATTTTTTATTGGTTTCATTTAGTTCAATAATTTTCTTAATTTATCTATCATAAAGTATTATTTACGTTCATCCCTTATACCTTATAAGGGTGTCAACTTTAGTATTTCAAATGGTCAAACATATAATAAACTAGCTTATTTAATAGAAAATTATCAAAATAAAAAAAAAATTATTGATATGTTAAAATCTAGGCGGGAAAAAAGTACGATCGAGAAATTCCTAGTTATAAAAATACGAGGTGTGTTCAGAAAATACTTAAATTTTGCGGATTTGGAGAGTCTGATTATCAACATTTTTTTTTCATAATGTCCCTTAAGTATGATAACATTTTCAGCTCAATTAATTTTTTACTTTGTCTTAGCAGCCGCTAAGGTACGACGTATTTTTAAGAGCTCAGCGATTTTCATTTATTTAAAAAATTAATCAAAAGATTTGTATCAAATTATGCGTAAAAAATGTGTGAAATATTAACAAAGACCTATGGTGAGTCTGCCATGAGTTTTACGAGTAGTATAGACTTTTCCAAAATAGCTGTGTAGACGTAGAAGATGGCGTACGCCTCAGCACATCAACAACCGAATAAAACGTGAAAAAAATAAAAGAAATGGTTATGAACGATTGCCGAATCACAATCAGAGAAGTTGCTGATGTTGTAGAAATATCAATTGGTTCATGCCAAGACATTTTTTTAATGTTTTAGGTATGAAACGCGTCGGCATGGACGACCGCGTGCATCGCCCAGCGATGTCCGTGGCGTTCATGCTGTTAGACGTGGAGGAGTGGATAGTGGAAGAGGACGTCGTAGGGGCGTTGACCACTATCCTCTCCAAAGATGGAGTGACGACACCCGTCGGATCGGTGTCAGTCCGACTACACGGGAGCGGCAAGGGCCGCTTCGCGTGGTGCGAGGTTCCCATCAGGGCCTCGCAATCGCTGGTCGGACTGACACGACTCAGGGTGGGTTGGAGCACGTGCCGGATCCGGGTCCCAAAGGACAAGGGTCCGCGCTGCTACAGGTGCCTCGAAAGGGGGCACGTGCAAACGACCTGTAGCGGTCCGGACCGGACCGGCGCGTGCTTCACGTGCAAAGGGGGGGGCCACCGGTCAAGGGACTGTCCCAAGAAAGTGGGAGGGTCGGAGAAGACTTCATGAAGTATCTCCTGTCCTCCTCACTCTATTTCGTGTGATATGTGTTTTGTGAATTATTATTTAAGCCAACCCTCGCGAAGTCCTGCCCCCACCTCCACGTGGTTCAGCCCGGGCAACGGATCCCACCTTTTGGGATCCGGCTAACGTGGTGGTGTGAATTTTAGACGGCGTGGGCCGCCCTGAAGCAATACCTCGCGGTAGTTCCAGGGCGGTCCACATCATGCCGGATTGTGAAAAAAAAAAAAAAAGGTATGAAACGCGTAGCAGCAAAATTTATTCCAAAATTGTTGAATTTTGACACAAAAAAAGCGGCGAATGGAAGTTCATTATAAATCACTTTAAGAATTCAACGACAATGCAGAATCATTGAAACGTGTTATAACAAGTGATAAAGAATTCCAATGAGGCTAAAAGGTAAATACTTCAAGACTGTAGTGAGGCCAGATATGATGTATGGTTCAGAGTATTGGGCGGTTGATGAGAAAGTAGAGCAGAGAATTAGTGTAGTAGAGATGAGAATGCTTAGATGGGTGAGTGGAGTGACTACAAAAAATAGAATAAGGAACAAGCATATAAGAGGGAGTATAGGTGTAGCGTCAATTGTGGATAAGATGAGAGAATATAGACTTAGATGGTATGGTCTTGTTATGAGGAGAGAGGAATTGGAGCTGTAAGAACAGTTATAGAATTGAATGTTGAAGGAAGAAGAAGTAGAGGAAGACCAAAAAAGAGATGGAGGGATGCTATTGAATGCGATATGAGGACAGTTGATGTTAGCGTAGATGATGTGGGAGATTGTGTCAAGTGGAAGTTTAGGATAAGGATTGCTGACCCCAAGTAGTTGGGATTTAAGCAAGGAAGAAGAAGAATAACTTCCAAAATACTGGTTTAAAAGTTGTTATCAAACATTTTCTTAATTAGATCCCTTTCAATTATTTATAATAGATATTTATAGTTATTAAATAATAATTATTTTTTATATTTTATTAATGTAGGGTTCTCAATACTGTGATAGAAACAAATGCGAGTTTAGAAGAATGTTTTCGAGCGAGTCTTTTCCTGTTAGCTGAAGACCTACCATTTTAGGAAATAAAGTTGATTTTAAAGGGTATTTCTCTTATAATCTTCATTTGTATTTACAATTAGGGAGTAATTAATAAAAATTCCCCTCTCAAAAATATATTTATATAAAAATGCACATTTTGGGGATTAAAAATTAGTCACCTATCAAAAACTTAATTCAATAAGCAAAAAAATATCAAAACTTTAAGGGACCCCTTTTACATAAGTAACACGCCACTATACCAAAATCCTGGCATGCTTATAATAATAATGTAATCATATTATTATAATAAAATCACTTTTTTTAATATTATATTAATATTTAAGCAAAACATTAGTGAATTTCCTTAATGGAAAATCTTTAAGGAAAAAAATTGTAATAGACAAATAAAACATACACTATGGTACTAAGAGTTTTTTAAACTAATCATTTTTTTCTTCAGTACATTAAACAAAATAATTTAATGATAGCATGTCCATTTCGATCTAATATGTAAATAATCTAAATCAGTAATTTAAAATAAACCTAGTTATATTAGTTTTAAAATAAATCTTAAAAAATATATATGAACTTCTATTTTTGTAAATTTTGGGGAAATATCACGATAATGGCTTGAAGGTTATTAATCAGTAATATATATATGTTCTTTTAGTACCGATAACAATAAATTATGGCAACTTGATTTGTTAAAACGAATAATAATGATTTTTTTTTAACTTACTACTTTTGGAAATGATGAATCTGCTGACAATACAGCATCACTGTGATCATTTAAATTGAAAGCACACCCTGGACTAACGAAAAAGTTATTGATTACTATGAATGCTGAAACAAAACAGAAAAACATAAAGTTAATAATAGTACAAAAATAAACCGCACCATTAAGTGTTATATAAATTTTATGAGAAACAATTTAATATTTTATTACAAGGGACTCGAAATTTCTATATTTTTCTCATAATATTGTATAAAAAGTAATAGTTTTTAATAGATAAAATGGAGTTTTTATCAAAACACATATTTTCACTAAATATACAAAGTGGAACGGATCTAACTGTTTTCCTATGGTATCAAATGTTAGTCCATATTACGTTAAGTACAGAAGTAAACATTTATTACATTATTTACTAATAACAGTACGCGATTTCATTTCCATGAAAATTATTAACATTTGAATAAACATATGTAGATCATAAGTTATATGAGTTAGATTCGTTCCACCTTGTATATTGCATATATGTTGCAGTAATTTGAATCGTAGCATTTCTATAAATAAATATAAGAACCAGAACAAAAGTGGTCAATATAACATTTAGTAAAATGTATTACAAAACTAAAAATTAAAATAACAATTTTTTTTTTTCAAAAATCATATCAAATGTTTTTAGGTACTTCCTTTAATAATCTAAATAAAAACTTATCATTTTTCTATATATTTTTGTATACATTTAAACTTAAATTAAATTATTACGGAACCAATTTTTCGTAGAATTGTACTTAAACAAATTTAATTTATATTTGTAATTTTCATTGATATCCGGAAAGTTAACTAAAATTAAAAAACCCAGCACAGGGGGGTCGCGGCACAGTGGTGACGTGACATAGTTGGATCAAGTATAATGATATCTGACAGTGATTAAAATTACTATAAAAAAAAAACGCTTCAATGCAAATCTTTAGATAGTGTTTACTTTTAAAAAATTGGTGGATTATTCCAAAAGCTACATGATCTGCTATTTCTTTATTAATATCCTGAATGAAAAAGGGATTATTAAAAAATATTATATCTCATAAAAAAATTATGTTGATCCTAACACTTTTCAATAAGTCATAGCATTATAAAGTTAAAAATGTAAAAAATAAAATCGAGAATTTTCACACAAAAATAGCATTCGGTAGCCATTTTCACCATGAAAAAAAAAAAAGTCCGAAATTTTTTTTCCATAATAAAGTTTATTTCATTACCTTTAATTTAAGATATATATAAAAGTGTCAGACTTCCGGAACACTTTCAAATGTTAAGTTGAAAAAGTTAATTTTTTGTGAAAAAGTTGTCATTTTAAATCCCCCCTTGTGGGCAGGTAAAGGGTTAAATTTATAAAAATAATATACCAAATGATAAGTAAAGACATCAGCATCTACAAAAAAAAAAATTATATTGATTTGGTTATTTTTAAAAAAGTTATGGCAATTTTAAGTAATAAAAATTGAATAAATTTCGAAAATTAGCGATTTTTAAATTTGTAATTTTTTTGGAGGTTTCCCCCATTTACGTGGAACGAGGGAAATTTTTTCAAATTTTAAGGGTAATGTCTTCGACTAGATACGATTTGTGATCTTTTGACGTATCTTTGAAAGAAATCCGTTCAGTGAGAGCTGTAAATAAGTGGTAACAGACAAAAAAAAAAACACACACATAGTAAAACTAATACCTTTTTTAGCTTCGCATCGAAGCTAAAAAAAAAAGTTGTGAGTAAAAAAATTAAATTTCGTTCTTACTAAAAAGGATTCTGATATGAGTAAAAACATAAATATATATAAATAATCGGAATAATTAAAGGTTTTAAACATAACTGAAAGAAAAAACTTCAAGTATTTATTTATTCAATAAAATAAAAACAAATATTGGTTATATTATTGTATTTTTAACTAAATTAATATTTCTCGATTAAACTTCAATGAAGTGGTAACTTTTATTTAATAATGCCAGCCTGACCTTAAATATACAGCACATATTTATGACCTCATTTATGTATAGAGAAAAATTGAATGACTTGTAAAGACTATTTATATTTAATAGCACAAATTCACTTTAAAAACCTTACTTTACCAGTTAAATAAAGTTAATAACCCATGTATTATTTTTGTTTAATGAACATTTCTTGTCTATAAAAAAATTTATCAATAAAAATTAAATCAAAAGTAAATTAATTTACATTAAACAATGAGTTACTAAAAACACTTGAATATTAATTTAATTATATCAAAGATTGGTTTAAGGTAATGATCTAATTAAGTAGGGTAAGGAGAGTTAAGACGATGAATTCAGTATTTCTCAAAATCATACTTAGAGCAACACATTCTTGCTATATATAATAGCGTCATGTAATGGACGTTTATACTCACTAGTTAACACATACATTAATTTTATTTATTATAAAAAATTAATATTTAAAGTATTTTATTCTAATTATAAACATCAAAACTTTAGATATTAATATTCTAAGGTAAATTTTTCAACTTTCACTCTTAAACAATCTAAAAGTTCTACTTAATATCTATACATTCATAAGAAACCAATTTATTTTAAAATATTTTTGGTTATTAAGTTTTATAATAGTTTTCGTCATCTTAGAAATGATAAGAATGACAAATTTTAGGAAAAGCTATAACTAATCCTTTACTAAATTTTTAGGATTTTAAATATAAATATAAATATAGATTTTAGGAGAACTTTGCCCACTGACCGACGGCTTCTATTATGATAGGAGGACAATAGCAAAAATATAAATTTATTAATGATTATCTGAAAATATCCTGATATTTTTTTTTCACGCCTAACAATATTTTTTATTTTATTTACAAAAAAAAATATATTAACAATAATTTTATTGATAAAATTAGGGTTAATTCGTGTTATGTAATAATAAACAATACATTATGAACATATACATATGTATTAGTTTTGGAGTAAAAATTATCATATTATTATTATTTCTATAATAAGGCGATTACAGTTGTAATAAATAATTTAGACAATAGATTAATTCAATTATCTGTATATTGTTATATTATATATAATGAAAATATTACATCTAATAAAAAATTAANATTATATATAATGAAAATATTACACCTAATAAAAAATTAACATAAGCTAATTTTCATAATACGATTTATAACAAATAAAATCATGGAATTTCTTGATAATAGCTTAATTAACGGATCTACAAAATTATAGATAAATCATTGGCGTTTATAAATGACTTTTAAAAAGAGGAGGCGAAAGATAAATGAAAAATGATATGATAATAGTGAATCAATTACTTCATAAGCGCACATTAGGAAGTAAAAGGAGATTCTAAACAACCAAATTATGAAAGAATAACTATTTGAAATCAATTATAAATCATTAGACATATTATTACTCAACTAAACATCTATAATAATTAATATATGTGTTAATTAATTGTAAAATAAAAATAATACATTTTTGTATTGTTTTATTTAGATACATATTTTAGCTTCGATGCGAAGCTGAGAAGGTATTTGTTTTACTATAATGTGTATTTTTTTTTTTTTTTTTGTCTATTATCACTATTTCTCAGCTCTCACTGNTTTTTAATTTTTTTTTTTTGTGTCTGTTACCACTTTTTCTCAGCTCTCACCGAACCAATTTCTTTCAACGATACGTCAAAAGATCACAAATCGTATCTAGTTGAANTTCTTTCAAAGATACGTCAAAAGATCACAAATCGTATCTAGTCGAAGACATTACCCTTAAAATTTGAAAAAATTTCCCTCGTTCCACGTAAATGGGGGAAACCTCCAAAAAAATTACAAATTTAAAAATCGCTAATTTACGAAATTTATTCAATTTTTTAACTTAAAACTGTCATAACTCTTTAATAAATTAACAAATTAACTTAATAATTTAACTTAATAATTAATATAACTTTTTTTTATATAAATACCTTAGGTATTTCACTATCATTTGATATATTTTGTGAATATTTGACACTTTACTTGCCATTTTGAGAATTTCAGTATGGCAACTTTTTCATAAAAAAATAACTTTTGAATATGTTCCAGAAATACTGATACTTTTATATATACCTTAAATGAAAGTTTAATTTTGAAGAAAAAAAAATTTGACCCCTGGATTTGTTTTCATAGTGAAAGCGGTCATCAAAGCTAATGAAAAACTTACGATTTCCGTGAAAAAATTCTCGATTTTATATTTTTAAATTTATAATGGTATAACTTTTGGAAAAATGTATCAATAAATATTACTATTTTTTTATAAATAATTTTAATATACCCCTTTCATCTCACAAACTTTTAAATTAAGAACTTTTTTTATTGGTTTTTTTAGTTAAAGTAAATCATTAAAATTAATTCAGTTAATATTTCAATTGTAGAATCTTTAAAACACCAAAAGTTACTAGGAAATGATTACTATTATTCATGTTAATCTTAATTTTATGTTAATCATACTTTTTGTTTAAATCGGATCATTCCATTTATACAGGGGGAGTTCAAATCTTTAAAAATACGTATAGAAAGTATAGAAAATGTGTATTCAACTTAACTTTTGAAAATATTTCGAAAAGACTACCACATTTATATATACCTTAAATTAAAGCTTATGTAGTATACTTTATTTTGAAAAAAAATTTGACCTCTGGACTTGTCTTCATGGTAAAAACGGACATCAAAGTTAATGAAAAACGTACGATTTCCGTGAAAAAATTATCGATTTTATATTTTTAAATTTATATTGGTATAACTTTTGGAAAAGTGTATGGATCAATATTATTATTTTTTTATAAATTATTTTTATAAACCCCTTATATTTAACACACTTTTTTTTAAATCGGATTACCTTTATATAAGGGGGTCAAAACTTTATACATGCGTATTGAAACTAAGACATTTTCAATTTAATTTTTAAAAGCGTTCCGGAAATACTGACACTGTTTTGTCTGTCCATATAAAAAAATTTGAAAACAAATTTTCAATTTTAGAAAATCAAAAAAGTAACTAAAAATTAGGCTGCCGTCTAAAATTAGAAAAATGAGAATTTTTTTTGTATTTTAAAATTACTATTCATAATAACTATTTACAATAATTCATTTTAAAGAGTCACATTTTATGAAATTGTAACGTATATACTAGAACCAACCATATTTTTTTTGATATACTATTTATGAAAATCTAATAAAAAACTTGAGTTCAAGAAGAAATAAAACGAGACCATATATACATATCAATTTTTTTTTCTTTTTTATTGTTAATCTCTTTCAGATATCATATATACTTGTCCTGTAGTTCCGCATTTCCACTGAGCTTGCTTATTTTATTATTTAATGTTATATGAGTTTTTATAAAAATAATCATTTCTATTACACGCTAAATATTATTTACTATACAATTTTAAAAAGGCAAGAACCAAAGGGGAATGATTCCCCTATCAACCCCTTTAATATAATTACCACAAAGATAATCAACTTATTTTAATCACAATGACATTGAAAGGCTAATAATCACATAATGAATTAAAATAAATATATATATCAAATTTAAATAAATCAAAATTCTTAAGTTAATTTTAAAAACACAGCCAAACTTAGCCATTCTATCCAATTTTTATTTTAGATGAATTCACCCATGTGTTCATTAAAATCATTTGAAGAGACAATAATCTAAAGGAAATGAAAATTCATTCGATTGATAACAGTAGATTTCTTTATGAGACATTTAAAGTGCAACCCTATTTAAAAAAAACAGTGGTTGGAGTGCTTCCTTCTACTCTAATAAAAGTTATTTAGACTCCTTTTCTCATAACAAATTCCTAAATACGCCACTGATTGGTAGATTAGTAGAGCCAAGCAAGTACATATATTTGGTCGGTTTTTTGAGAAGTCGGTGAAATAAAAAATGGCAATTTTTTGGTAGATCATTAAAATAAATATTTTTTTCTGATGTTATAAGGAACTTAATAAATTCAAATCATAGTAAAAGAATAACATTACTCTCTATGAACAAAACTTTGACAACGATTAAAAGTAAAAAATTTCCAATGAAACTGATAAAAATATAAAAATAGTATGATTTAACTTTCTCACTGAAATTCATTTAATAAATTTATTAAATTATTTGGGAGTGAAATTTACCAATTAACTTCAAAATTATTTCTATTAAATAGTGCACTAAATTTTAATGTATTCTTAAACAAGAAAAAGTTAATGTTTAAAATACTATTACAATGCCTTTAAATTATTCATAATACACTATTATAGAATCATATTAGTATGTAAAGCTTAAACACGCGATATATCCATTCAGTCTTTTGTACTCTAATATTTTCTGACCTATGATTAAATGGTTTAATTAAAGTTGTTATTGTTCAAAGTACTAAAGCTGCCCTGTAGGTGTAATAACAATAAAATTATCAAACATTTCGTAATGCAATAATATTAACCCATTACACATACACGACTAAGGTACCAGACGATTGAAGTAACGGTCATTAAACTATGAATCTAAAGGTTTTATTTATATATAACTTTATAAAACTAAATAGTAATAGTTTTATAAAAATTTGCTTATATTCAAAATAATAGATATTTTGTCCAGTTAATTAGTCACTTTTATTAAAATTTAACAGTTTGTACGACAAAATAATTACATAATTATTTTAAGCTTAAGATATAGATAAATTGAAATTTAAAATCGTAAAATTAATTTTTGGGCATCTTTAATATTTCTGTGAAATAAAATTTTATTTTAGTCAATAATTAAACTAATAAGCTATATTAAAAAATGCAATAAATAAATAACCACAAATCTAGTGACTCATCTAAAATTGTGACAAATGATCATTACATCAACTAATTCCCACCATCCCTTTCCGTTTAATCATAATAAAAACGAAAAATATATTTATAATTTTATAGAGGATAACCAGATATTGCTAATTATTGAATAATTAATTAAATACTTTATTATTAAGAAAAGTTACGTTACATTTTTTATGATTAAGTATAAATAATGATATTATTAAGTATAATCAAATATTTTAGCTATTTATAAATATAGATTAGTAGATTCAGTAATACAATTAAATATTTTACTTTTAAGGTAACTAAAAAATAAAATTTACAAAGAAATTTCATAGAGAATTCCATGTTTATCTGGACATAACGTTCAAATTTAATAATTGCATAAATCAAAATTTGACAAAATTGACGAAAAACTTATTAAATGACAAAAAAAAGAATGAAAAGGTTTTATAGAACACAAATTAAATAAAGAATACAAAAATGGAACTAATCTATTACTTGAAAATTAGAAATTTAAATAACAAATACAAAAATTAAATTGTACAAACTAAACATTTTTAATAGCTGAATTACTTAAGAAAACTTGACAGGTCACTCTTAAAACTACTGGGTTAAAAGTTATAGTTTATAAAATTGTTTTTGCGTCGTAATACATTCTAGGTTATTATAATTATAGGTAATTTAGATAATATTTCAATTTTAAAATTCAACTGATAGCAAAATGATATTAAGCTAAATTGTATATGAATTACTGATTAGATTCTTATATTATATGTTTCAAAAGATATCACATTTGCCATTACTGCTATGCAGGAACAAATAATTTAAAAATAGTATTACATTAAAAAGACAATAAAACAATACTCAAAGGTAAGATACTTATTAGAGAATTGATAATTTAAAATTATCATTTGAGAAATGAAATATTTAAAAATGAAAATTATTAAACAGTTTGAAAATTTCGCCAGTGCAAAATAAACTATAACTTGTAAAATTTTAATATAATAAAAGATCATTTCTTAAGTTTTGAGTTTAAGTTTAAATGGACAAGTTTAGCATACGTAAAATATAAATTTCGTTAGTTGTAATTTTCAAAAAAACACAAAAAAGATAATTAAATTTATGTTTTTTTAATCATCACAACATTTGATTAATTTAAAAAAAATTTTCATTTATATACATTTGTTTAAATAAATATAATCTATACAAATAACTAAGTTGATAAGCATCCATACAGTAAATGATTTACTCATAGAAAAACTAAGTAACAAATAATTGCCTATAATCTTTTTTTGTTTTAATCTAACAATAAATTACTCACACGAAAGGTAAATTACTAAAGGGTATCTTAAAAGAAACACTTAAAAGAAATAATAAATAAATATACGTACCCGTAAATAGCACGTATTGAAATACCATCAAATTAAACAGTTCCATGGTATGTTGTGGATGAGAATTTGTGTATCTCAAAATCAAAATTATTTTAGTAAATTGCTGGTACTATTTTTCTTAATTATTAATGCTTGTAAAGTCACTCAGAATAAATTTAATTACAATACACAATGTAAAATCGCGTTTGAATTGACGCTATCAGGATCTTCACGTCGATCGATCTGTATGATACGATATTGTAATCACTGACTCGTTGAATATATAACCATTATATCACATTAAAAATAAAAATATAACAAAAACCACACAAAAGAGAAAAGGAAATTAACTATAGAAGTAAATAAGATTGACAAAATTGTTACGAAGGGACGAAATGTGACGACTCCCCGGGGCAGGCGGCCCGTGTGTTACTGTCCGGACGCGCGCGTTATGATTGATACGCTGGCCTATCGTTAATCGCACGCGTTATATACATTCAATCCGGCGGTGATGCCGCGCCGAATCAATAACGTAACCCCGCGTCAGAATGACCCCCCCGTCAAACTGTGACCGTAAAGCGGTCTGCTGTTCGGTCTTTTCAAGGCGGTGGCGCATGTTTTTACCTCCTCTTTGGGTGGTAAAAGTTGTATTATCAAGTTTTACCTCCAAGCGCACGTTAACTCCCCGTAAACATTGTTAGCGCTACTTACAGTGTGACATTCAGTACTCATCATTTTTATTCGAGAATTTTTTCTTTGAGCATCATTGCAGGTTAGCCAATTTAATTTTATAATTTTTAAATTGTTTAAAATATATTAACACATTTTACAATTAATGTTAAATTAGTGATGTAAAATATTTTTCAATCATCTATAGTAATAATTAAAACACCTATCAATGTCATATTCAATACATTTTAATTTAGAACCGGAGATTAAAGTTAAAACTCTGAAAAGATTTTAAAAAATTCATATATATCCAATATCACAAGAACACCCTAAAACATTACTGCATAGTACTACAATTCATTATAATTTTAGTTTTGCAACAAAACCAGAAGGCATTAAATTTTCCATGATGTGACTTCTCCTTTTATCTGTCCACAATAATTTTAAGTTCTCATTGAACCGATTTTAATAATCTATACGTCAAAAGAACCCAAATATGATCTAGTTAAAAGTTATTACCATCAAAAAATTGAAAAAAGTCCTTCAGTTTTAAAAATTTCAAAAATATCTCAAAATTACGTTACCATGAACTATGACATAACACCTGCAATACATATTTTAGCTTCGATGCGAAGCTGAGAAGGTATTGGTTTTACTATGTGTTTTTTTTTTTTTGTCTGTTACCACTTTTTCACATCTCTCACCAAACGGATTTCTTTCAACGATACGTCAAAAGATCACAAATCGTATCTAGTCGAAGACATTACCCAGAAAATTTGAAAAAATTTCCCTCGTTCCACGTAAATGGGGGAAACCTCCAAAAAAATTACAAATTTAAAAATCGCTAATTTTCGAAATTTATTCAATTTTTATTACTTAAAATTGCCATAACTTTTTTAAAAATAACCAAATCAATGTAATATTTTTTATATATAGATGCATATCATTACCTTTCATCCTTTACCTGCCCACAGNATATAGATCTTTCATTCGACATACTGTTTTTTTAAATCGGACCATTTCCCTAAATACAGGGGGGATTCAAAACATAAAAATGCATATAGAAAGTAGAACTTTTTCAACTTGACTTTTGAAAATGTTCCGGAAAGTCTGACACTTTTATATATATCTTAAATTAAAGCTAATGTAATATACTTTTTCATGAAAAAAAAAAATTTCGGACTTTATTTTATCTTCACGGTGAAAATGGCTACCGAATGCTATTTTTGTGTGTAAATTCTAGATTTTATATTTTACATTTTTAACTTTATAATGCTATGACTTATTAAAAAGTGTAAGGATCAACATAATTTTTTTATGAGAAGTAGTATTTATATAGATCTTTCATTCGACATACTGTTTTTTTAAATCGGACCATTTCCCTAAATACAGGGGGGATTCAAAACATAAAAATGCATATAGAAAGTAGAACTTTTTCAACGTAACTTTTGAAAGTGTTCCGGAAGGTCTGACACTTTTATATATATCTTAAATTAAAGCTAATGTAATATACTTTATAATGGTAAAAAAAAATTTCGGACTTTATTTTATCTTCATGGTGAAAACAGACATTAAACTTAATAAAAAAAATACGATTTTTGTAAAAAAATTCTTTTTTATATTTTTAACTTTATAATGCTATAACTTCTCGAAAGATGTATGGATCAATATAATTCTTTTTTTTGTAGATGCATGATGTCTTTACCTATCATTTGGTATATTTTTTTTATAAATCTGACTTTTTACCTGCCTACAGGGGGGGATTCAAAATGACAACTTTTTCACAAAAAATTGACTTTTTCAACTTAAATTTTGAAAGTGTTCCGGAAAGTCTGACACTTTTATATATATCTTAAATTAAAGCTAATGTAATTTACTTTATTATGCAAAAAAAAAATTTCGGACTTTATTTTATCTTCACGGTGAAAATGGCTACCGAATGCTATTATTGTGTGAAAATTCTCGATTTTATTTTTTACATTTTTAACTTTATAATGCTATAACATATTGAAAAGTGTATGGATCAACATAATTTTTTTATGAGAAATAATATTTTTTAATAATCCCTTTTTCATTCGACATACTTTATCTTAATTAGGATATTAATAAGGAACTAGCAGATCATGTAGCTTTTGGAATAATCCACCAATTTTTTAAAATTAAACACTATCTAAAGATTTGCATCGAAGCGTTTTTTTTTGATAGTGATTTTAATCACTGTCAGATATCATTATACTTGATCCATCTATACCACGTCACCACTGTGCCGCGACCCCCCTGTGTTGGGTTTTTCTCTTTGTTTTTGTTGCTTCAATTTTTTGTGTTAGGATCAACATAATTTTTTTATGAGATATAATATTTTTTAATAATCCCTTTTTCATTCAGGATATTAATAAAGAAATAGCAGATCATGTAGCTTTTGGAATAATCCACCAATTTTTTAAAATTAAACACTATCTAAAGATTTGCATCGAAGCGTTTTTTTTTTATAGTGATTTTAATCACTGTCAGATATCATTATACTTGATCCAACTATGCCACGTCACGACTGTGCCGCGACCCCCCTCTGCTGGGTTTTTTATACATTATTTTGCATAATTATTCTAAAAATTTGACTTACTGTTTATTATATAAATTATTAGACATTTTATTATTATTTCATTAGACATACGTTATCTTAATCATGATATTAATAAGGAACTAGCAGATCATGTAGCTTTTGGAATAATCCACCAATTTTTTAAAATTAAACACAATCTAAAGAATTGCATTGAAGCGTTTTTTTTTTATAGTGATTTTAATCACTGTCAGATATCATTATACTTGATCCAACTATGCCACGTCACGACTGTGCCGCGACCCCTATGTGCTGGGTTTTTTTAAACACTGTTTCTAATCTTAATAGAATATACTACAAACAAAATGCTCTTTTAATCATTTTTTAATAATATCGTTCTTCAAAACTATATAAAATTAAAGCTTTTTAATATTACTTTATGATAAAAAAATGATCCGATTTTAAAACTAAAAATCGAAAAAATACGCCATTCTTTAAATTTGATATAACTCTTCTTAAAAAACACTGGTTTTAATAAAATTAATTTTTGTGATCTAAGCGTAAACAAAATAAATTTAATCTAGTTGTACCTAAATTAGTGTCAAAATTTGAAAAAAAGAACCTCATTTTTTAGAAATTTAGGAAAATTTATCATAATTAGGCAAACGTAAAAATAATAATTTTACAAATATTTTTTCTTACATTTTAAAACTGCTATAAAATTTTTAAAACATAAATCATTTTTTATTATATATATATATATTGTTTTAATTAAATTAAATTAAAAACTTAAGTACAGGGAAGTTTTAAATTATACCACCAACGCACCCAAAAGATTTTTCTGAACTTTTTTTTTGGAAATGTCCCCAAATACTGTCAACGTTTTATCTATATCAAATTAAAGCTTTTGAAATAAATTAAATTAAATTAAAATTAATAGTTCCAAAAATTTATCTATTATGAAAAAACACTTTTAAAAAAACATTTATAATATTCATATTGTTAATATTTAAATAGCTAATTTAACAGATTCTCATTGATGCATATGATAGTGATGATATTTACTGCCAGATATCATCAGTACTTAACTCCACTGTGCTATTTTATCACTAAATTTTCATCTAGTGATGGTTGTATGTTTGATAAGAATGGTTATTCTCCAAACCAAAACCAAAACTATAATTACCGATTCAACTATCTTGAAATTATTTATAAAAAATAAATAAAAATTTATAAAAAATTATAAAAAAAGTTATGAGTAAAAAAATTAAATTTCGTTCTTACCAAAAAGGATTCTGATAAGAGTAAAAACATAATATATATATATAAATAATCGGAATAATTAAAGGTTTTAAACAAAACTGTAAGAAAAAACTTTCGTTATATATTTTATAGAATTTTTTTTTTTTTTAAATGAACGATCAAAAATAAAGTCTTTAGTTGATATAGTTGCTGATTCGTCAAAATTTATGAAATATGCCCTCCTAGAAAAATATTTTGGACCGTTTTCACCAGACATAAATATATTAACATAAAATACATTTATGTTAAATATATTGATATTTTCAAACTTTAATCAGACATGAACAAATCCATTATACTTTTAATGCTTCAAAACAGGGCTTGGGCTTTATGCATTTATAAAATTTATTTTCATCATTCCGAGTACATCAATAGATATTCTTGTTCTTTTTTCTTAATACTAAACAGTGATTATTATACTTAAAAAAATATTAGGTAAAAAAATAACAATAATAACTATTAATGTTACTTTTAAATTAATAACTTAACTTAATAAATTAATAGGTGCGATCAGAGGGAGCTCAAATCCCTCTAATTTTGTCACAGACCTCCAAAAATATGAAAATCCCTATATTATTGATTCTGATTCACATTTATGTTGAGTATTAATTTTCTAGAGAAAGAAATAACTTAAGTAACTTTTCAACCATAACAAAATAAATTTAAGAACAATAATCATGTTGAATACAAAATAAAGTTAATTTTTTGGATATTCCAATTTTGGCTGGTTATAATTATTCAACAGATGATATAGATGAAATCAGTGGATTTTGATTCGATGGGTTTTTAATTGCTTGTACACTACATATATAAGTAAGTTTATCACTTAATATCAAAAAAAAAAAAAAAAAAAGTTATTACCTATTTATAGTTTAGCAATTTAATTAAAAATAAATTATATGAATATTATATAACACAAATTTGTAATATAAAATACAAAAGGTTTGTATTTACTGAACAAAT